GTAGACTTAGGGTAGCCTGTGAGGGCAGCGGCGATGCACAGCGGGAGGGCACTTGTCTGGCATGTGACCGGCTTGAGTTCGATCCCCAGCATCCCATATGGAGCCCACCAGGAGTAAGCCCTGAGGGCAGAGCCAGGAATAAATCCAGAGCACTGCTAGATGCGGCCTCCAAACATATATATATATATATATATAATGTGTATTTATGGTAGGGAGTTTGCCTTGCATGTGGCCGACACGGCTGACCTGAGTTTGATTCCTCTGCCCCTCTCGGAGAACCCGGCAAGCTACCGAGAGTATCTCGCCCGCATGGCAGAGCCTGGCAAGCTCCCCGTGACATATTCCATATGCCAGACACAGTAACAAGTCTCACAATGTTACTGAGCCTGCTGGGGTTACTATGCCAAACATAGTAACAAGTCTCACAATGTTACTAGGCCTGCTTTAGCAAATCATGAACAACGGAAGGACAGTGATAGTGACAGTATTTATGGTCACTGTCACTGTCCTCCTGTTGTTCATCGAATTTTCGAATTTTCTCGAGCGGGCCCAGTAATGTCTCTATTTTGAGACTTTGTTGTTACTGTGTCTGGCATATCGAATACGTCACGGGGAGCTTGCCAGGCTCTGCCGTGCGGGCGAGATACTCTCGGTAGCTTGCCGGGCTCTCCGAGAGGGAGGAGGAATCGAACTCGGGTCAGCCATGTTGGCTGCGTGCAGGGCAAACGCCCTACCGCTGTGCTATCACTCCAGCCCCAGTATTTATGATATTAGTCTTTTTTTTTTCTTTTTGGGGTCACACACAGCAATGCACAGGGGTTACTCCTGGCTCTGCACTCAGGAATCACTCCTCGTGGTGCTCAGGGGACCCTATGGGATGCTGGGAATCGAACCCGGGTCGGCCTCATGCAAGGCAAATACCCTCCCTGCTGTGCTATTATTACTCCAGCCCCGACATATTAGTCTTTAGCCCCACATCGTGTGACTTCACTCTCTGCGCACTGCACCCTCTCTGATGGTTTCTTACTGATCGAGAGTGAGGTCAGAACTGCATTGGAATGCAGAGAATTAGGAAAAGGAAAGTGACCTGCTGTAAAACAGAAGGACTTTGAGACACATAAACACATTTGTGACCCTCGATGAGACCAAACTGTGAATCAGCCCAGGGCAGCGGTAATTCTTTAACTCGGGGTTGCTGCCACGGGTACTTGGTTCTGTGTCCTTGTCGGGTGCCAAGGCCCCTCGCAGGACCTGGCTGGGTCTTCTTACACCTTCGCTGGGTGCAGGCTGGGTGTGGGCTGGCTGCACCGGGCAGAAAGGGCCCTGGTTGCGCGGGGGTGACAGAAATACGGCCCCCCACGCAGAGCCTGCGCACTCGCCCCTGTGTACTCACCCCTGCGCATCCCACTGTCTGCGGGGGCTTCTCATAGGGAGAGAGAAAAGCAACTCTGCTTCGCTCTGCATGCCATGCCCATTGGCCGAGTTCAGCAGTCTCCGAGCACAGTCAGCTGCCCCCCACGGCCCTCCCTGGCACCCCACCAGGAACAGCCAGTTGGGGTACTCCCCTGAGCACCTCAAGCCAAAAATAAGAGTAGAGAAAAGGACTGGGAAGGCAGCTTAGCAGAAGAGCTCTTAACCTTGCACAAGAAATAATGATATTAATAGGACTGTAGCACTGTCCTCCCATTGTTCATCGATTTGCTCAAGCGGGCCCAGTACCGTCTCCATTGTGAGATTTGTTGTTACTGTGTTTGGCATATCGAATCCGTCATGGGGAGCTTGCCAGACTTTGCTGTGCTGGCGAGATACTCTCCGTAGCTTGCTGGGCTCTCCGAGAGGGACGGAGGAATCGAACCCAGCTCGGCCGGGTTGGCTGCATGCAAGGCAAATGCCCTACCGCTGTGCTATATAAATAATAATATATAATTATAAATAATAATATACCATTAATAACAGTATACGTAAAAAGGTAAAAGGCCCTCCCGTTGATCGAGCGGGCCCAGTAACGTCTCCATTGGAGACTTTGTTGTTACTGTGTCTGGCATATCGAATACTCTCGGTAGCTTGCCGGGCTCTCCAAGAGGGGCGGAGGAATCGAACTCGGGTCGGCCATGTTGGCCGCTTGTAAGGCGAATGCCCTACCCGCTGTGCTATCGCTCCAGCCCACACATTAATATAACAGTATAATGTATTATTATTAGGGCCAGAGCAATAGTACAGCAGGTTGGATGTTTGTCTCGTACATGGTCAACCCAGGTTCAATTCCCAGCACTTCAGAGTTGTCCTGAGCACAGAGCCAGGAGTAATTCCTGAGCACAGAGCCAGGAGTAATTCCTGAGCACAGAGCCAGGAGTAAGCCCTGAGCACTGCTGGCTGTGGCCTGCCACAGATAATAATACATTTGGGAATTGGCCAGGGTGATAGCTCAAAGGACGAAAGTTGATGCTTTGTCTACAGGGGGCCTGGGTCCAACCTCAGTATCACAGTGCCCCACTGTTCTGGGGACCAGCCCCAGACAACAGGCCTGATGCAGGGATGCCTTGAGGATTAGGAGACAGAAGAAAGAGAAAAAGCCGGGGATGGGGGCTGGAGGGGGGTGGTGGTGGTTCACACCCTCACAGACCGAGAGCCCCCAGTCCTAAGGATAGGATTTATCGCTCAGAGCTCATAATTACCCAAAGGAGAACAACATTCTTTAGTGAGAACAATGTTGTTTTACAGAACCAAGGGCCTTGGTTTATTGGCATGCACATCAATGTAATGGGCTTCCCTGAAGGGGGATCCTTCTGGGAGAGGGAGGGGAGCTAGAGCAGTTACAGGACCCCACGGGGTAACAACTACCCCAGGTCCCAGGAACTGCCCTTCAGTGCGGCTTCTCCCCACCAGTAGACTGCTGGGGTTACCCCCAAGTGCTGACCCACCAGGAGTTTCCCTGAGCACTGCTGAGTGTGGTGGCCCCCAATGAAATAGGAATATTAAATAGGAAGATTAGAAAGCAGGGCCTGCACAGACGTGCCCTGTGGTGTGGCCCCCAGCACACTGGGGCCACGGGCTTGTCCATTTGTGCCGCATCCCTGGAATCCATCTTTAGTGCCATTAGCCAAAAGGGAAATTCCAGTAGGAGAGACACTGAAAGGATGTGAGTGTTTCCTGGGTTCACAGTTGCCAGAATGGCCCCTGGGGACCTGGGCGGGGGCTGCGTGCTCGGGGTCACTTTGCTTTGGACTCTGTTCCATTGTGAGGTGGTGGGTGGCGGCTATGCAGACCCCAGACAGGGGCTGGGAGGGTTGAGTGCTGCCCCTTCCCCCGGGCTCACTCTGTGGCTGCAGGAGGACCCCCACCCTGGGGGAAATGGACTGAGAGGCTGAAAGCGAAAGGCCCAGGGTCAGCAAGGGGCTCCATAGGCTGTGGGACTCACGCCCAGGCCTCTCTCTGGCGCTTGCCTTTGGGTCCAGGTGTCGTCTTCTGTGTATGCCTGCAGGTGTCAGCATCTGCCTGCATGTGCCTCCATATGCCTGCAGGTGTCAGTGTGTCTGCATGTGACTGCATGTGTCTGCATGTCTGTATGTGCCTGCGTGTGCCTGCGTGTCTGCATGTCTACTTGTGCCTACATGTGTCAGTGAGTGCCTGCATGTGCCTGCGTGTCTGCATGTCTTCGTATGTCAGTGTGTCTGCATGTCTGTGTGTACCTGCATGTGTCTGCACATATGCATGTGCCTGCGTGTGCCTGTGTGTGTCTGCATGTCTGCGTGGTCCTACGTGTGTCTGCTTGTCTGTATCTGCCTGCGTCTGTCAGTGTGTGTCAGCGTGTCTGCATGTCTGCATGTTCCTGCATGTGTCTGCATGTGCCTACATGTGTCTGCTTGTCTGCATGTGGCTGTGTGTCAGCGTGTGTCCACATGTGCCTGCGTGTGTCTGCATGTTTCTGCATGTTCCTGCATGTGTCTGCATGTTCCTGCATCTGTCTGCTTGTCTGCATGTGCCTGTGTGTCAGCGTGTGTCCACATGTGCCTGCGTGTGTCTGCATGTTTCTGCATGTTCCTGCATCTGTCTGCTTGTCTGCATGTGCCTGTGTGTCAGCGTGTGTCCACATGTGCCTGTGTGTGTCTGCATGTTCCTGCGTGTTCCTGCATGTGCCTGCATGTTCCTGCATCTGTCTGCTTGTCTGCATGTGCCTGCGTGTGTCAGTGTGTCTGCATCTGTCTGCATATGTCAGTGTGTGTCTGCATGTGCCTGCATGTATCAGCTTGTGTTCCCTTTCAGACAGGATTAGGACTCACCCAGAGACGGATTTTAACCCCATAACTCCTGTCCGAGTCTTTCCCCAAGGGCTAGAGAGAGGACGGGTACGGCGCTTGCCTCTAGCTGGCCCTGGTTTGATCCCCAGTGCCACCGGTGGTCCCCTGGAGCACCACCAGGGGGCACTCCTGAGCTCAGGGCCAGCTGTCTTCCCTGAGCACCCTGGGATGTGGCCCACCCCCTCCCATTCCATTTTACCCCCAGATTCCTTTCTCCAGCATAACAGCCTCAGGTACTGGAGGTTACGGGGCCACAGGCCAGTCCAGAGCCCCAGGCTGAGCAGGTCCAGCGCTCAGCACCTCTTCCCTGGGCAGTGGGGGGCGAGGGTGAGTCCATGGACACCCACAGCTGAGTCTCCCCTGCTGGCTGGGGAGGGGAGGGACGAGCCTGCTCCTCGACGGAGTCCTTGCACAACCTTAGTGACACTGGCCATAGTCGCCTTCCTGCACCTGAGTCGGGGGTGTGAGTGGGTGGGCACTGCCAGGCAGGCAGCATCCACAGAGCTGGGGCCAGACCTCTGCCAACCTTGGCCGCTCACAGTAGCCGTTAGTCCCGGTCTGTGCCCCCCAGCGTTCCTGGGGAAGGAGGAAGCCTGTCCCCAAGGGGCTTCCTCGGAGCCACCCCACCAAGGGGCTTTGGCCAGGCTGTGTGAGCGGCTGGCCTGGGCCAGGCTGCTCAGGATGGACACGTGTGTCTCGCAGACATCAGCTGGAGACGCCGGGACATTACTCCCACCTGGCCGCCTTCTATGAGGACAAGAAGGGGGTGCTGCACGCAGGGCCCGGCAGAGGCGGCAGCCTGCCCCCCGTCTACTGGCTGCCGTCCATCCACCGCTACATGTACCCCGAGATGAAGGTGAGCGCGCCCCCTCTCACGCTCCAGGGTGGGTTCTGGGTGCTGGGGGTGCATGCTGTGAGGGACTTGGGGTGAGGATTTCATGCTTGAATTTCGCTTCCAGTAGATGAGGCTGTTGCTGGGTGAACAGGAGTGCTCTCGGCTGAGAGGAAGCACAAGGGGACGGCACTGCCTGCAGGCAGCGCACCCAGGTTTAATCCCCAGCACTGCATAATGGTCCCATTCGCAGCACCAAGAGTGGTCCTTGAGCACAGAGCCAGGAGTCAGGCCTGAGCACCCACTGGGTGAGGCCTCCCAAAGAAACAGAGAACTTGCTTGCTAGGCGTTTCTGTAATCATGGTGCTGGGCAGTAGGTGCTGGACAGGCCAGGCCGCTGACAGGCGGAGGAGGTGAGCTGGATGCTGTCATTTGAATTGAGGAGTGGAAAGGAAGAGGTCGATGAGAGAGCAGGAGCCGCATAGTCAGGGCCAGGGAGGTGGGGGGTTGGGTATCCATCCCCTAAACTTGGACGCTGTTGTCATTTTACCTAAAGTATAATGCACTGTAGCACTGTCCTCCCATTGTTCATCAATTTGCTCCAGCGGGCCCAGTAACGTCTCCTTTGTGAGACTCGTCCTTACTGTGTTTGGCATATGGAATACATCATGGGGAGCTTGCCAGGCTTTGCCACGCAGGCAAGGTACTCTTGGTAGCTTGCGGGGCTCCCCAAGAGGGGTGGAGCAATCGAACCTAGATTGGCCGGGTCAACCATGTGCAAGGCAAACCCCCTACTGCTGTGTATAATAAATGTTTAAAAAGAACTTGCACGGGTAACAGTGTTCCCGATTGTTTGGTCATGCATTTGCCTTGGGACTGAAATGTATTTACAGTTCCCAGCACCTGCCCAGGTGTCCTCCCTCCTCCCTCTCCCCTCCTCAGCTTCCTTCTCCCCTTCTCTCCCCTTCCTCCCCCTCCCCTTCTCCTTCTCCTCCACCCAGACCATCTGAGGATCCCAGACCATGCCCCAGTGGGCTGCAGTGTCAGTGGGCAGAAGTGGCATCTGGGGGTGACAACAGCAAGACGCCAGACCAACAACACCTTCTCCTCCCTGTGCTCCACCTCCAGTGCTCTTCTCAGGAACCCTGGGCTGTCTAGTATATTTCAGATGCGTGGGCTGGGATCTAGGAGTGTGCATGTGTGGTCTTGATCCGCCCTTTGCCACCACAAGGCTCCTTCTGGAATAAACACAGGAGATCCTCACCGGGCTCTTCATGGGGACACCTCAGCCCGCTCGTGACTCTGCACTCCGGGGTCCCCTCTGGGGATGCTGGGAGACTGTGTGGCACAGGAAATGGGACCCGAGCACCTCTGACTTTGCAGACAGCCTGTTCAGCATGGCGACCTTTGCACTCTGAACCCTGCTCTCCAGCCTGGGTCTATGAGGGTGGGATCTGGGGGTGTGCAGGAGGACATGCACCCCACGGGAACTTGCCTCACGGGGGATGTTTCGCCCCAGATCACCCACCCGGCCGGCTGCATGTCTCAGTTCATCAAGTTCTTCGGCGAGCAGATCCTGGTCCTCTGGAAGTTCGCCTTACTGCGCAAGCGCATTCTCATCTTCTCCCCGCCGCCCGTGGGCGTGGTGTGCTACCGAGGTACTGGGAAGGGCCACCGGGCACAGCGGGGCCCCAGCAAGGCTGATGTGGGGGTGACGGGGCTGGGTGAGGACAGTCGCTGCTCTGGGGGGAGAGGGAAGCTGGATTCTGGGTCCAGTGCAGAGATGGTGTCAGCGCCTGTTGGCTTTGGGGGTTCTAGGAGGGAGGTGGGGGTCTGGGGGGAGAGTCAGGGCCTGGGGTAGTAGAGTGGGGAGGTCCCAAATTTACCCAGACCACATCCTGGGAGGGGCAATGCTGGCGGTCTGGGCCAGGCCTGGGCCAGGGGACAGATGGGAGCAGGCCATGTGGAAATAAAGGCGTGAGAGGCAGCTGGACTCTTGGGGTCAGGGAGACGGAGGGCAGGGGTGCAGCGTTGCAGGGGCAGCCCAGGAGGGACAGAAGCAGGGAGACCCAGACCCAGGCACAGAAGGTGGGGCACTGACCTGCGTCTGACCCAGGTTCAATCCCGGGCACCACAAAGGGTCCCCCAAGCCCCGCCAGGAGTCAGCCCCAAGCACCGCCTGGTATGGCTCAGAAAAGAAAAACAGTGGGGAGGGGAGGGGAGGGTGGTGGCGGGCTGGAGGGGGCAGCAGACTGGATTTGACAGGACCTGCCAGGGTGTCTGGGAGGTTCTGCCGGGGTCATGGTGTTGAGTGGTGCGGCCTGGAGCCCTGGGGACTGGGGTGGCGGGTGGGCGAGGGGCGGGCCCCTTCTCAGCCAGGTGCCCTCTGCAGTGTACTGCTGCTGCTGCCTGGCCAACGTGTCCCTACCCGGCATCGGGGCCACCATCCCCGAGTCCAAGCCCTTCTTCTACGTGAACGTGGCGGACATCGAGAGCCTGGAGGTGGAGGTGTCCTATGTGGCCTGTGAGTATGGGGTTCACCCAGTCCCGGTCCCCCAGGGTGCTATGTCCTGTGGGTGGTGCTGGGCTCCTGGGCCCAGACCGCTCCTGAGCCCCCGGGTCCCCCAGGCACTACAGAGAAGATCTTCGAGGAGAAGCGGGAGCTGTACGATGTGTATGTGGATAACCAGAACGTGAAGACACACCACGACCACCTGCAGCCGCTATTGAAGATCAACAGTGCTGACCGGGAGAAGTACCGGCGACTCAACGAGCAGAGGTGCAGGCAGTGCCCGCGCGGGCCTTCAGGGGGCGCACAGACGGGTTCACCTCCCCAGGCCACTCATGTCTGTGAGCAGTCCCTGCGCTGGCCAGCAGAGGGCGCAGAATGGGGCCTTCAACTCTCCAGGCCACTCTGTGGGCACTCCTAGTGCTGACCAGCAGGGGGCGCAGGGAAGGGTTTCACCTCCCCAGGCCACTCATGTCTGTGAGCAGTCCCTGCGCTGGCCAGCAGAGGGCGCAGAATGGGGCCTTCAACTCTCCAGGCCACTCTGTGGGCACTCCTTGTGCTGACCAGCAGGGGGCGCAGGGAAGGGTTTCACCTTCCCAGGCCACTCATGTCTGTGAGCAGTCCCTGCGCTGGGCAGCAGAGGGCGCACACAGGGGCTCACCTCCCCAGGGCTGTTAATAAGCAGTTCCTGTGCTGGCCGACAGGGGGTGCATGCAGTGGGGTAACCTCCTCAGGGCCTCACTGTCAATGAGCAGTCCCTGTGCTGGCCGGCAGGGGGCACATGCAGCGGGAGTCACCTCCCCAGGGCCTCACTGTTAATGAGAAGTCCCTGTGATGGCCGGCAGGGGGCGCACGCAGGGGTTCACCTCCCCAGGGCCTCGCTGTCAGTGAGCAGTCCCTGCGCTGGCCGGCAGGGGGCGCACGCAGGGGTTCACCTCCCCAGGGCCTCGCTGTCAGTGAGCAGTCCCTGCGCTGGCCGGCAGGGGGCGCAGGAAGGTGTCTCACCTCCCCGGGTCCGCTGTGACAGCAAGGGATGTGCCCTTCCAGAGTTCGGAAACAAGAGCAGTGGCCTCTTTGTCCAGCCTGTCCTGCCCAGCCCTTTCCTCGGGGCGCCTGTGGGCAGTCAGGCTGGCCATCCTGTCGGAGGCGAGTGGGTGGGCGCCCTGCTTTCTCCTGGCCTTGGGGTGTCTGTGGAGGTGGACGAGGAGGACCATGTCTGGAGCGCCCTCTTGTGGCCTGCGCGCTTACAGCGGGTGTGCGCTGCCAACGGGCCCTGCTGCTCTGGCCTTGGTCCAGGGCTGTGCTGTCCTGGGCCTCCCCACCAGGGGCGGGATTCCTTGCGTCCCCCAGACTTGGTCCCCATGCCCTGCCTGTCCTTTCCTTCCCTCGCGACCTACCTTTTGGACCAGGGCTCTGCTTTGGGTGGGTCACCAGCATCCTTGGGAGGGGGCACCCGGGCAGATGCCCTGTCCCTCACCTGGCCGGTGCGTGGGGCGGGCTGGCCCATGGTGTGACCTGAGGCCGCCTTTTTCCTCCCTCAGGCAGATGCTGCTGTACTCCCAGGAGGTGGGGGAGGAGCACAGCCCCTGTGAGGAGGACCTCTTTGTGCTGTGAGTCACCCACGCCCCGTCACCACTGTCATCCAGGGATGCTCTTGAAATGCCGCGGGGTGGGAGGGGCCACGTCTAAGGAAGGATGCTGAAGGAGGGAGGTGTTTCTCCTCATTGGGGGCTCCCTTGCAGGTGTCTGATGGCATAGTCTGACGTTTCTGCGCCTGGTACAGATGGGTTCTCGTCCCCAGCTCTGCCGGTGGTGGGGTGGGAACTTGCTGGGAGGCTTGATACTGAGGGTCTGTGATGAGAAGGAACAATTCCCCCAGCTGCCCACAGGGTCCCCCTTGTCCTGGGGGTGGGGGATGGACCTCACGGTCGCCCTCCAGCTTTGACGTGGACAAGCGCCCCTTGGGATTTCAGCCAGGCTGAGATCAGCGTTGGGAGCTGTCCAGTTTGCATCTGAGCTTCCCAGCGTCCATCCGCCAGCCCTGTTCTTTCTCTCCAGCCCATGACACACTTTAAAGGGCTTCACACCAAACACAACCATTAAAGAAAGCGAGCACCAGGGAGAGAGTGCAGAGGGGCCCATGCTGGGAAGCCAGACACTGAGCCTTTCCTGGTGTCGCTCTGGGTTAGCTGAGGACTCTGCCACTGCTGGCCATATCCTGGCTGCCCTGGACACACTGACCAGGGGAGGGGTCGGGAAGGCCGAGCGAGCTGCATGTGTGTGAGCCCCCAGGTGTGCGAAACCCCCCCAAGCGTGCGCCTGTCACAGGTATGCAATCCCCCAGGTGTGTGCCACCAGGTGTGTGAGCCCCAGGTGTGTGAGCCCCAGGTGTGTGAGCACTAGGTGTGTGAGCACCAGGTGTGTGAGCCCAGGTGTGAGTCCCCAGGTGTGAGTCTGCCACAGGTGTGTGAGGCCCCAGGTGTGTGAGCTCCCAGGTGTGTGAGCCCCAGGTGTGAGCCCCCAGGTGTGTGAGCCCCAGGTGTGAGCCCCCAGGTGTGAGTCTGCCACAGGTGTGTGAGCCCCCAGGTGTGTGGGCTCCCAGGTATGTGAGCCCCAGGTGTGAGCCCCCAGGTGTGTGTCCCCAGATGTGAGCCCCAGGTGTGTGAGCACCAGGTATATGCCCTCGGGTGTGAGATCCAGGTGTGTGAGTCCCCAGGTGTGAGCCCCCAGGTGTGTGAGCCCCCAGGTGTGTGAGCTCCCAGGTATGTGAGCCCCAGGTGTAAGCCCCCAGGTGTGTGTCCCCAGATGTGAGCCCCAGGTGTGTGAGCACCAGGTATATGCCCTCGGGTGTGAGATCCAGGTGTGTGAGTCCCCAGGTGTGAGCCCCCAGGTGTGTGAGCCCCCAGGTGTGTGAGCTCCCAGGTATGTGAGCCCCAGGTGTAAGCCCCCAGGTGTGTGTCCCCAGATGTGAGCCCCAGGTGTGTGAGCACCAGGTATATGCCCTCGGGTGTGAGATCCAGGTGTGTGAGTCCCCAGGTGTGAGCCCCCAGGTGTGTGAGCCCCAGGTGTGAGTCCCCAGGTGTGTGCCCCAGGTGTGAGCCCCCAGGTGTGAGTCTGCCACAAGTGTGTGAGCCCTCCAGGTGTGTGAGCCCCCAGGTGTGTGATCTCCCAGGTGTGAGAGCCCCCAGGTGTGATCCCCCAGGTGTGAATCCCCAGGTGTGAGCCCCAGGTGTGTGAGCCCCAGGTGTGAGAGCCACCAGGTGGCCTCCTCTGCCCTCAGTGCTCGCAGGTGTCCGCCCTCACACTGGGCAGAGACACGGCCTGGAATGCCCTTCCCACACCATTTGTGCCCGTTGGTGGGTGCCGCCAGCACCCCCCCTCCCGAGTGTGGTCAGGAACGCAGACCGTGGTACTAGGGTCAACATGCTGCCCTCAGAGCCCCCCTGGGCCAGGATTTGCTGAGCTCGGCACTTTCCCAGCTTGGACCTTGTTCTGTTCTCTCGCGTTGGGCCTCCCCAGGGATAATCCCAGCAATGCTCAGGGGGTCAGGGGGTGCCAGGGTTCACACCGGGGGTCCCTCTGAGTGCTAGCATGTGCTCCTCTGCACTCTCTCCCTGGTGCCCACTTTCTTTAAAGGTTGTGTTTGGTGTGAATCCCTTTAAAGTGTGTCACGGGCTGGAGAGATAGAACAGGGCTGGTGGCACTTGCCCCGCATGAGGTCTGACCCTGGTGCTGTTGGGGGCCCCTGAGCACCTCAGGGTGTGGCTCACAGTGACAAGGCACCGTCCTTCCACCCCTGGCTCGGGTCCCCGGCCCCACCTGTTAGTCCCTGTGCGGCACAGCCAGGGTCACTCCTCTGGCCCCTGAGCCCCGTGGGGTGAGCACAAAACTGGAGTTGAGGAGAAGCAGACCCAGCAGGTGGCCGGCTGGCACTGAACCCCTTCCTCTTCGGTGCCCGCTTGTCGGGAACACGCAGGTTCTTCCTGGAGCAGAACAACCGGATCTTCCAGACGCTGCTGGAGGTGTCGGCCAGCCAGGACAAGACGCTCACGGCGGAGCACGCGAGGGGCATGGGCCTGGACCCGCAGGGCGACCGCGGCTTCCTCATGGACCTGCTGGAGGCCTACGGCATCGACGTCATGCTGGTCATCGACAACCCCTGCTGCCCCTAGGCCGCGGGAACCGTGAGCCGTGGGCGGCTGTGGCCTCCTGCCCTCCCTTCCTCCCCCCCTCCCCAGAGGCAGGACTCATACATACCTGCTTCGGGGTGTGGTGGGGGCGTCGGAGTAGCCCCGGGACTGCTGCTGGGGTGATCCTTGCGCCTCTGAGATCTGACGTCACGAGGCTTGGCCTGGAGCCGGGAACCTGGACGGATGGTTCTAGAAGCCTGTCTGATCTTTGCCCCTGGAACTTCTCAAGAATGAGTCGAGCCAGCTCTGTTCCGAGTGTGCTGGACCCTTCCGAGGTCCCGTTCCCCGATGGCCTCCTGTAGTGGGTGACAGGAGATCTATTCTCGGTTCACTGGGTGGCGGGTTAGCCGGCCGGAAACCAGCCTCCTGCACCGGACCCGGACACTGGCCCTGGGTGACCCTCCATCCTGGGGCGGGTGGGCGGCTTTGTGTGTTGGAATCCCAGGGCTCGTCTCCCAGAGGGGCTGACCGTGCTCTGGGGTGACGTGGCGTCTTGCTGTCATGGAAGGCGGGTCCATCCTGGCCGGGCGGTACAGAGCAGCCCATTTCTTCGTCTGCAAGAACATTTCCAGCAGGGCTTCCTGCAGGGTGTCCGGGCCAGAGCAGAGAGCCACCGGCTTCTGGGACCTAGTGAGGGTCCCGTTGCTGGCGGCCTCCCTCCCAGATGGGGTGGGCCTCGCACCTTCTCTCTGGCTGTGGCCTTAGGGAGAGGCCGGCTTGGGGAACACGACCACTGCTTGTCCCCCATAGGAGGGCGGCCAGCTGGCGGGAGTCGAGTTCAGCTCTTTGGGGCTTTCGTTTGGGATTTCCTTGCCTCTGGGGAGCCCTCGGTCCTGCTGCCGGTCTCTCAAAGTGGAACCGCTCTCCTGGTGCCCATGGGTGGGCGGTGCTGGTGCCCACGGTGCAGAGCAGAGAAGGGCAGCTTGCGGGCAGATAGATGGAGCCCAAGGCTGTTTGGAGCAGGGGGATGCCACACACTCCCCATCTCTAGATTAGCTCTGAGAACTCATCGCACTGTGGAGAAGCGTTTTGTTCTGTCGCTTCTAGAGAGGAAGTTGCACATGGCCGGCCAGCCGAAGGGCCGCACCCTCCCTGTAAATAGATAAATCGGCGTGGGCCTGGGAGCGGGCCGCGCCCACGTCTCGATCACCTCCTCTGGAGAGTGAATGTCATCTAGTTACTTTAGTGGTACCGGAAGTTCAAGGCTCCCCAAACTGGGAGCGGGAAAGGGAGCAAAGGTGAGGCATCTCTGGGGGACCCTCCTTCTGGGAAGTGGGGCTTGGGGGACGCGTCTTTGAAGCCTGCCTGTCCGTTTCAGCCATGCATGGCTTCTTCCCCGAGACACCGCATCTCCTGGCGGGGAGTGGGGGTGGGGCACTGGGGTTCCTCTCTTGCCCGGGAATTGGGGATCTGGGTCTGGGGCTCCTCCCGGCCTTCCTGCCCTGCCTGGGCAGCTACCTGGGCGGGGGGGGGGGGAACGCTGCTGACCGCGTGGACCTTCCTCCCTGTATTTCTTCTGGAAGGCTCCTAGGGAGTCAGTCCCTCCTGGATCTGGTTTGACCCCTGTCCTGCATCCTGGCTCAGCGGGCCGGGGACAAGTCCCTTGCCTCTCACCACTTCCTGGTCCCCAGCTCTCGCCTGGACTGTGACACAGAACCCCCTGCCCACAGGTCACGGGGATGCGGTCTGTGGAGTGTCCGTTTCTGGGAAATGCTCTGCTGTGCCGAGGCTGTGGGCACATGCCGGGGGCATCGGCCGTGTTGGGGCAGGACACAGCTGCCTCCTTGGAGGCATGGCATTCTTCTGGCCCCTGACCTCTGGGGCCCCACCTGGCCTCGGCAGGGTCCTCCTGGGGAGCCTACGCTGACCTCCACGGTGCCTGTGCTCACACTGGGAATACTGCCCCGGGCAGCCCAACCTGGCCTGAAGTACGTCAGAAGCACCCAGACAGCAGTTCAGCGATCCAGCCTGGAATGTAGGCTCGGCAGGGGGGAGGGCAGGGGAGGGCAGGAGGGTGATGCTCAGCCCTGGGGATCTTGTACAGTTGTGCTGTCTCAGGAGCTCCCCTGAAGTGCTCACTCCCGCCAGCTCCTGAAGTCTGGGTCATTCGTTGGGAATAGCTTCCGGCTTCCTCATGCTTGAAGGGCCACTGAGGCCCCTTCTGGGACCGGGTCCCCGGCGCCGGCAGCATCTGCCTCCATCTGCATCGTCCTTCTGGCACCTCTTCCAGTTGGCCAAGGAAAGGAAAGCAAATCCCTGGACCGATGGATTAAAAAACAAAACAACAACAAACCAGCCCTTGACTGCGCGACTAATTGCTTGGTTCCATGTGAAAATCAACGAAGGAAGATTTAAGGTCGGAGCGGGCTCCAGCCCGTTCTAAATACCAATCGTGAAGGTCCATGGTTGCTCCCTGTGATCTTGTTAGCTGGAAGGGCCATTAAATCATCGCCGCATCCCTGCTTTTCACTCCGGGGACGAAGAGGACAAACTTGCTATTTGTCTTGATAACGCGGAGCTCCCCCTTCCAACAGGAGAGGAAAAGATGAGCCGATTCACCTTTAAGCAGACCTTTCGGGAAACTTCTGCAAAGGGCAGTCATGAATTAACCTTTGAAAGGGGAGCCCAGCTGCCTGCACCCAGAGGCAGGGACCGCGGGTCTGAGTTTGAGGCTCTGGGGGAGGTTGCAGTGCTTTTCTGCAGAACCAAGGGCAGAGGGGTAGGGATGGTGGTTTGGAGCCAGGGCTGGCTTCGGGTCCTGATGCAGGTAGGAAAACACAGGCGGAGGCACCTTCTCCTCCCCGCCTTGTTTTTATCGCGATACCTCTGTTCCCAGGGGGAGTGGGATGGCGGGAGGGGGGGGGGGGTCACAGGGAAAGGCAAGACTGTGAGCAAAGTGGGGACGGTTTTTCTTACGAGACACGGAGATTTATTTTTCTACCCCGGAGACAATGTGTGGAGCGTGAGGTGGTGACATGCAAGGACATGGCGAGGCTGAAACCCCGGAAGAAACGGGCAGGAGTGTCCGTCCCCCAGAAGCCGGGCGGCTTCCACTCTGCAAACAGGGGTGATGTGAGCTTGGAGACATCGCCTCGTTGCCTGCAGGTGATGCGGTCCCCGCGCCCGAACCGAGGTTGTTGCAGTCCTGGACAGCAGGGCAGCTGGTGCGATTTACCTGTGACGAAGCTGGTTACTGAGCCTTGGGCTGTGGGTGGGGGTTGGGGGGGCCTTCTTCTTTAAGTGGCACTTTAATTCGACTCTGGAGTTGGAGTACAGGGCAGTGGGGGTGAACCTCGTGCTCAGAAAGGAAGCACGGACCTTCCCGTGGTGCGTTCTGGAGAAGCGACGATGATGAAGTCCTACTTGCATCTCTCCGAGTCTGGGCCCAGCAGAGGCAAGAGGCTCAGAAGCAGTTGATTCCCGTAGACGGGGAGGTGCGAGCGACTTCTGTTGCTGCTGCTGCTGCCGCCGAATGCCATTTCGACGAAGAATAGATTTCCTTTGCTGTCTAAGGGTTCCCCCTCCCCGAAGCTGGGGCTGGGGGTTGGACCCAGAGCATAAATTCGGATGACCAGATGGGAAGAGCGCCACCCAGAGGCCAGCGAGGGAACTGACAGTTCCCCGAGGGCTGGAGAGCCAACTTCTGCCCAACTAAGCAGCAGTGAAGGCTTCCAAGTGGCACCCCCAGAAGTGGTTGGGTTTGCTGACCAAGTGCCGCAGGTAGAGAAAGGCCAGGTCCAGGGGGGTGTTTTAACAGACAGGGGAGTCTGAGACGTGGGAGCTGGGGGCAGTGTTTGCCCCCACAGAGGCAAACAAGAATCACTGTCCTGTGGTTACCCTCTTGGCAGGTTGTTTTGACGTTTGGTCCGTGCAGGAAGTGAAGCTTGAATGAAAAAGAGTAACTGTGGACGTGGGAAATCGGGAAATGGTCCTTCACCCTGCCCCCACCCCCCTCCCAAGGCAGGGTCAGCTCGGCCGCCCTGTCGCCTTAAATGTCCACCCCCTGTTCTGATGGCCCCCTGGGCATAAGAGTCATAGCAATAAGAGAAACGGAATCAATGTTTTGTTTCCCGTGTTTACCTCATATTCCGACATTAGTGAGACGGTTCCTAAGCTTCACCCCAGTCCTGCCAAGATTGATGCTGTGTTTACTGGTGGTGACTTCCGAGTCTAGCGGGCCACAGCCTCACCCTGAGCGGTCCGGACCTTTGGCGCTGGTCTGCGGCGTGGTGTGGCCACGGGTCCGAGGCCCACCCACCTGGAGAGAGCCCGCCCCCCCCCCCCCCCCGTGTGCAGAGCCGTTGATATATTTACAGAAAACGATTTTTACAATTAAAATTCGATTTTAACATGACGGTGTGCCGTGGTTCTTATCAGGCCCCTGGGATTCCCATAGTGGGTGACAAGTGTCCACACCTGCGGGGGGTGGGGGGGGGGCGGGCAGGCCGTGACTGGAATGCACGGATGGCTTCAGGTTTGGTGCAGGGTTGTGGGGGTGGGGGTGCTGACAGCCGGGAGGGGGCGCTGAGTGGTTTTTATTTTCTTTTGCAAAGGGGACAATTGGCCACAGAAGCTTGCGAGCTCATCTAAGAAATGTGGTTCTTGGGCTCAGGGCTCACTCCTGGTTCAGCACTCGATCGATCCTGGCAAGCTCCAGGGACCAGAGATGGTGACAGGGATCGTGCAAGGCAAGTGCCTTATCTGTTGGGCTATTTCTCTGGACTTAAAACTGCATTTCTTGTTTGGGGTAAGTCCTCCTTTCAAGAAGAATGCCCCCCCCCAAAAAAAAATCTCAAGGTTGGGCATTATAGGGAGATTTCATTTACAACGTCTATGTTTACCTCTATGTAAATCATTGTATCCTTGAGTATAAATTAAATATGGGTCTTCTGGGGCAGAAACGATAGCACAGCAGGAAGGGCGTTTGTCTTGCACGCGGCCAACCCGGGTTCGATTCTCAGCATCCCATATGGCCCCCTGAAGACCGCTAGGAGTAATTCCTGAGTGCAGAGCCAGGAGTAACCCCTGTGCATTGCCAGGTGTGACCCAAAAGGCAAAAAAAAGGGGGGGGGGGTGTCTTCTGGTTCCTTCTCAAAAAAGAAAAAAAATGTGGCTCATGGTAGGAAGGAGGGGTGGTAAGAGGGACCGGGATGGGGGCAGGTCCCTGTAGGGAGTGGGAGGGAGGGGGGCTGGGGTCATTCTCCAGGCAACCTGACCCAAGCGGGGGCCAGAACCAGGCTCTCCCTCCCCTTGAACTGGAAGGACAGTGGAAGGGACCGGGCTTGCTCTACGGAGCATCTGGATCTAATCATGACTCAGGGCAAGCTGCGTTCAGTGTCACGCTGGGCTGAGCGTGGGCGGCTCTGCCCCGCTGCGCTGGTGCCTGTGACCCGGCCCCTGGCTTTTGGTCCCGTTCGGAGGCTAGTTGGACCCGCCTGCCCCGGGGCTCACGCGGCTTCTCACCCCACTAGGGAGAAGACAGCACTGGACAGGTGTGTCTACCTTTCCCTCCGCATCACTTCTGGGCACTTTGCAGCTGCTTTCAGTCATTGAAAGGGCTTGATGGTTGCCCCGAGCCTGAAAAGAGGGAGTCCTGAGCACCGCTGGGTGTGGCATGTCCTCCTCCCCCCACGTCCCCACAAGTTGGATCTACATCCAGCCAGGAACCCAGGTAGTATGGGGCCCAGGGTACGATGGGGCCCATCCTCCAGCTGCCGAGCCGAGAAGGACCCTGTGTCCAGGCCCTGCTCCGTCCCCTCCTGCCGGCCCTCTACCACGTAAGCAGCCAGTGGGGTGAGGAACACATCAAGGGGGTGGATTCGCTAACGACTGAACAAAATCCTCAGCAGATGAGGTGATTGCGAACTCTCGGCTGTCAACAAAATAAAGGCGGCACTTTTCACACGTGTCAGTAATCACTTTCGATTCTACCGTGATTTTTAAAAAGTTCATTTTGTGTTTAAGCCACACCTGGCAGCGTTCAGCGGCTACTCCCAGCAATAGCCGCCCCTCCTGGGGGTGGGGGGGTTGTTTGCTCCTAGAGGTACTGGGGGACCGTTTAGTGCCTGGGATCAAACCCAGTCCCCCCACCCACGTGCAAAGTGCATTTTCAACCCTTTCAGCTGGTCCTCTGCCCTCGTAGTACACTGAATTTTCCTAATGCAACTTCAAACCAGTTCAAAGAAATGTACAACACTGACGTTTGTTGGGGGGGGAGGGCGGGGTTGGGAATTGTCACACCCAGCAATGCTCAGGTGTGATGCTGGGGATTCAACTAGAGTCTGCCACACGCAAGGCAAGTGCCTTCCCCTGTGACTCTTGGGCCCAACGCCATGGTACCCTGGTTCCATCCCCACCCGAGGGGACAATGCTGAAAACTGTATATGGGGGTAAATGACTCACGGGGCAAGTGAGCTAATACGGAGCTTATTTAATAATTAAATAAGGTAAAGAGTAAATCATATTACTGATCCGTGATGTGTGACTTTCAGTCATCATAATACTCAACTGCATTAAAGAGCTAAAAAAATTTTTTCTCCATTTATATTTTGGGGGTTGGAAGAGGTAGGACAAGTGATAAAGGATATCCAGCATAAAAATAGATTACGGCGTGACAGCTTGCTTTGGTGTGGGGTGCACGGGGCAAAAAATCAATTTAAAAATTTCAGCTCCTAAAAGAACGGATTCATTTATTTCTGTAAATGGATGACGCGTGTCAAATGGCTGTGTATTTAAATTACGCCGGATGTGTTTCAAAGAGTGATGTTAACGGTTTTATTTTAAAATATCAATATTTACACGACACCAGACAAGTACAGACTTTGGCAACTTTTTTAACTTCCCCTAAAAGATTTGAGACGTCAACTTAGAAGTGTGTGAGGAATACATGATTTTCCCGAATACTTCTGGGGCGCACAGGCGGGAAGGGGGGGGCCCCCGAGGGTCCTGTGGGAGGGCGGTGGGCTTCTTCTCTTCATGCACTCCAACACTTAAACTTACTTAACAACCACCACCACCACCCCGCAAAGACCCCCAGCAGGGGCGTTTTCTCCTCCCCCAGCCTTGGCTGCGGGGTACCGCGCAGCACCCGGGCAGGGAGGGGGGCCCACCGACCCCGGTGCTTGCAGTGTGTGGGGACAAGGCTGCCCTGACCCCTGGGGAAGCATGCAGCAGTCGGGGCTGGGGTCCTTGTGGCCACCCTGGGAGCCGGCGCCCTTTGGTCCCACGGCGGGCGGTGGGGCGCCTGGGTGCACTACGCGGGGGGCGGGCGTCTCAGGCTCCCGGGACAGCGCGCGGCTGCAGCTGCTCGCGCTTGCGGGGGTCCCAGAAGAAGCGCAGCTTCCGGGGGAGCAGCTGTACCTCCACCGGCATCGCCTCGTACTCCTCGCTGTCGATGCTGAAGGAGCCCGCCGTGCCCTGCGAGGGGAGGGCAGGCTGCGGGTCCCGGGCACGGAACCCCCGCCCACGGGCACGGAACCCGGGACCACGGGCACGGGACCCTGCCAACGGGCACGGAACCCCCGCCCACAGGCACGGGAGGGGCTGGGTCGGGGCCCTGACCCCCACCCCCAGGCTCAGTCGGGAGGGACTCAGTGGCCGAACCCCGTTATCCAAAAAGCGCACCCTGGGCGCCGGCCGCCCCTGCCCCCATCCCGAGGGCCCCCCTCCCCACCCCCCCCCCCCGCGGCAGTCCCGGGCCCTGACGCAGCATTTCATTCATCTCCTTTGTCCCCCGCAAGCGTGGCCGTGGGCCTTCGGGGGGCTCTGAGTCCCCTTTACCCAGAGCTGTTACAAATAGGATGGGCACCACCTAGACTTGGGGGTTCTCAGCGTGCGCCCGCCTAAGAAGACCACCCCCACGGCCCGTCTCTGGTGCCCATCCCTCCGCACAGGGGCGATCCCTGCAGCCCTCATTCGAGCTGGGGCCCCTGCGAGCTCCAAGGGGTCCCACTCCCCGGGTGGGGGCTCACCTCGGGCAGTCGCAGGGAGCAGCGGCTGGCGCGGACACACTCGGTGCCTTCGGGGCGCAGCGTGGGTTCTCGCATCTTCTTGCTCCTATGGGGATGAGAACGCACGGCCGGGCGTCAGCACCCAGGGTCCCGCCCGGACGGGACACGGGGCCCTGACACACAGGGCCCCACCTGGACTGGACACAGGACGTCAACACCAGGGCCCTGTCCAGATGGGACACGGGTGTCAGCACCCAGGGCCCCAATTGGACAGGACACCGGTGGCGTGACGGGACATGGTGTACAGGGGGTTAGGGCATGGTCTGTGCCCTCCCTAGTACCACCTGCGGCTGACTCTTGGGGGCAATAAACCCACATACCCCCTTTCTCTTTCCAGTGCAAGTCACGAACCCGTTATCCGTCATTTCCAGTGACTATCACTAGAAGATATTTTTATCTCCTCGGCCAGAGTCAGATGGCCCCGGTCCGGTCCACAGGAAGCACTGAGGCAGTTATTCTCCAGGTGGCCACACGCCATCCTTTAGGAGTTGCTCTTGGTCTTAGGGCCACACCCTGTGATGCTCAGGAATTACTCCGGGCAGTGCTGGGGAACTATCGGGGATGCCAGGCATGGAAGTCTGGCCAGCCACGTGCAAGGCGAGTGCCCGCCCTGCTGGACCATCGCTCGGGCCCCAGCACACCATCCTCACAGCCTTTAGGTGGTCGTGCGACCCCCAGTGCTCTCCACATCAGCCCTCGGGCCAGTGGACAGACCCTTTATGGCCAGGTAGGCAGATGGGTTCTGACTCAAACCAGGCTGATGCCCAGGGACCCGTCCTTGCACCATTACAGCGCATGGGGCCTCTGGCGTGTCCCAAGGCAGGGTGGTGGCTGCAGGAGCCGAGGACAGCCGGTCAGTGGGCTCCGGAGAGCGCAGGGTGTGGGCTGCGGGATGCCTGTCCAGCCCACTTGTGGCCGCCCCACCAGCTCCCCCCACCCCCCACACACACATCAAACAGGACGTGGCTTGGGCCACTCCTGAGGGGAGTGTTCTGCCTTCCTGTTTCTGGGCGCGACACCGGGGTCACCATAAGACTATCAAAGGCCAGAGCCCACCTGGACTGTCTGTGACGCCCCCGCAAGCGCCGGCTCCAAAGTGGCCGCTAGAGGGCGCTGTGTGACCAAGCAACGCCGTGCAACGGCAGCTGAGGTGCAGCGTGGGCGGACACTTGGGGGTCGGGGGTCGGAGTGCTCGGACCCGCAGAGGGAGCGCAGGTCAATCAGACCCTGCTCCTCGCTAGTCTGCAGCCCCACAATGCTAAGTCTGTCTCTCTGTCTCTGTCTCTCTTTGTCTCTCTGTCTCTGTGTCTGTCTCTCTCTCTCATAAGTAATGAATGCTGCATTCCCAGACACCCAAGAAATATTGAGTCACACACACACACACACACACACACAAAAAAAAAACACCCAAGGAACAAATGCTGAGTCACACACACACACACACACACACACACACACACACACAAACCCTATGAACAAATACTGAGTCTCACACACACGAACACATGCAGCGTGCGTGCGCGTGCACACACACACACACACACACACACACAAAGAAGGAATGAATGCTGTGTTCCCAGATACCCAAGGAAAGAATGTTTAGTCGCGCGCGCGTGCGCACGCACACACACACACACACACACACAAACCAAGAAGGAATGCTGCATTCCCAGACAGATATCCAAGGAATGAATGCTGAATAACACACACACACACAAGGAAAGAATGCTGAATTTCCAGACACACACACACAAACACCCAAGGAAATGAATGCTGACTTACACACACACACACACACACACACACACACACACACACACACACACCAAGCAGGAATAAATGCTGCATCCCCAGACACAGACATACAGATTCAGAGAAAGAATGCTGAGTTAGACACCCCCAAGCAGGAATGAATGCAGCATTCCCAGACAGGCAGAGACACCCCCCCCACACACACACACATCACACACACAGGAACAGCTGCTGTGTCTCAGCACTTTACCCCAGCATTATGAAGTCTCCTTTGCTGACCATGTCGGGCTCAATGTAGATGTTCATGAAGTCTTCTTTGCTCTGAAAGGCAAAGGGGCACACGCATGGGTGCTCAGGGCAACACCCTGAGTTGAATTTTGAAGCTGTGTATGTTGATGATTCGATTCTGAATGTTTTCACCAGCCCCTTCATAAAGCCCTTCGCTGGAAAATAATTTCCACACTGTAGTGTGGTTTTCTGCCACACTCATCTGCTAAGTAACTATGGGCAGGGGGTGGAGACCAGCACAGGGGTCAGGGCGCTGGCCTTGCATGCAGTGGACCCAGGGCCCATCCCTGGCACCACACAGGGTGCCCTGAGTTCTGCCAGGGGTGATCCCTGAGCGCGAACCAGCTGTTGTAGTCCCAATCCCCCCCGCAAACCCCTGTCCCCAATGCTAAGGTCTGGAGGTGCACGCAGCTCCTGACCTGGGATTATTGCTGCCAGGATCTCAGGGTCCTGCCTTGCAGCTCCATCCTCACCACGGCTGCTCCCCATGGGGGCCGGGGTGTGGCGGCCCCTCTGTGAGGGGTGAGGTGTTAAAGGCCTCCTGTGCCCACTACAGAAAGCTTGGGAAGAACAATGCTCCAGGAACAGTGCTCCTCCATTCTTTACCACACCCGGCTGTGTGTTCCCTGCCGGCAGCCACAGTCCAAACCCAGCCTTGCGAAAATGGGTCCCAAACACCACTTCCCTCTCCTCTCGGACGGGCTCACACGGAGCTTCCGCTCTTTGCTGGGGATTAAAGGGTGATGCCCAAGCACGACTCCAGCTCCCAGTGGGGAATTACAAGACAGGGGCCAGCTTTCGCAAAGGCCACCTTCTGTTTGACCACGGCTTACCGTGGCTCTGTGCTTGCGTAGAGAACCAAACATCTCTGCACACAACAAATTTGCGCTCGTCCAAGGAGCATGGTCGAGAGAGAGAAACAGAAAACCCCAAACACAGCCATAACGACAGGGCATAGATGTATGACAGAGTAGTATTTATGTAAATAAACAATAATTTGTTATTTAAACAATCCATTATTTAAATAATAAATAATAATTTACATAATTTATGAAAATAAATTATGCCCAGGGCTGGAGTGATAGGACGGTGGGGAGGGTGTTTGCCTTGCTTGTGGCCAACCCAGGTTCAATCCCCACCCACCCATACAATCCCCCAAGCAACACCAGGAGTAATTCCTGAGCACGGAGCCAGGAGTAACCCCTGAGCATCACCAGGTGTGACCCAAAAAGCCAAAAAAAAAATATATGGTCTACGTATTATAATCTATCAGCATGAACGGCAAATTGTAGCATATGTCAGAGAGGAATTCTCGCACAAAAATGAAAGAAAATAGGGCCGGAGAGATAGTACAGTAGGATAGGTGCTTGCTCTGCCCGCAGTTGACCTGGGTTTGATCCCTGGCATCATGTGTGATCCCCTGAGCCCTGCCAGGAGTAATGCCAAGCACAGAGCCTGGAGGAAACCCTGAGCACCATTGGGCATGGCCTAAAAACAGTGAGGGGGATAAATGAACTTGAGCCAGAACCAAGCGGACGGGCGCCTGGAAGAGGTGAAGACTCAGCAGTACATGCTCGGGCGTGTTCAGATATCAGTGACTGACCTCCAGGCAGGCTGCGGGAGACACAGGCTCTGCACTGGGGAGGTGACTCAGAGGCAGAGGTCTGACGTTGCATGTGGGAAGCCCTGAGTTCCACCCCCAGCACCACACACACCCAAGAAAACAATTAAAAATAAATGGATAGGGGCTGGAACAATAGTACAGCAGGTAGGGCATTTGCCTTGCATGCGGCCGACCCGGGTTCAGTTCCCAGCATCTCATATGGTCTCCTGAACACCGCCAGGAGTGATTCTTGAGTACAAAACCAGGAGTAACCCCTGTGCATCGCCAGGTATGACCCCCCCCCCCAAAAAAAATGGATATTTGGGGCTGGAGCTATAGTACAGCTGGCAGGGCACTTGCCTCGTAAGCAGCGAATCTGGGTTCAATCCCAGGCATCCCACAAGACCCCCTCAACCCCACCTACCTCCCCGAGCACCGCCAGGAGTGATTCGAGTGCAGAGCCAGGCATAACTCCTGAGCATTGCCAGGTGTGGCCCCCAAATCCCAAAATAAAACAAATGGACGTTGGCCCATGCTCTGAAGTCATGGTCCAGAAGATGTGGGGTGAGGCCTTGGGATGTTCCTTTCTCACAGTTTCCGAGTACTGATGGTTGGAGGGGCTGGAGAGACAGCACGGTGGGTAGAGTACTTGTTTTGCATGCAGCCAACCAGGGTTTGATCCCCAGAACTGTACATGGCCCCTCAAGCACTGCCAGTGAGACCCCTGAGCTCAGAGCCAAGAGTGAGCCCCCAGCACTATGCATTATGGCCCAAAGCCCAGAAAAGAAAGGAAAACAAGGAAAATGTAGGGGCCAGGCCAGGTAGAGTACCTGCCTGGCTTGTCCGGGGCCCTGAGGGGGATGCCCAAGGGCCCTGGGAACATGACTGGGCCTGGGCTTGGGCGCCACCTGCACAGAACCATTAGCCCAAGCCATAGGGCTGGGTATACCCCAGAGAGACCCCCCTGGTGAGCTGAGCTCTGCTAGGCATGACCCCTAGTTTTAAAAAGGGATTTCAAGACATACTATTGATAATGGGCTGGAACGATAGCACAGCCGGTAGGGCATTTGCCTTGCATGAGGCCGACCCGGGCCGACCTAAGTTCGATTTCTCCATCCCTCTCAGAGAGCCCAACAAGGTACCGAGAGTATCCCGCCCGCACGGCAAAGCCTGGCAAGCTACCTGTGACGTATGTGATATGCCAAACACAGTAACAAGTCTCACAATGTTACTGGGCCCACTCAAGCAAATCACTGAACAACGGGAGGACAGTGACAGTCACAGTGACTATTGATTAACAGCAGCACAACTCTAGGTACCGAGGACTGAACCCTGGAAGAGTGAAGAAGACTATGAAGATTTCAGTGAATGGCATTTAACAGCCTTAACACAGAGCTGTGCCTTGCCCTGTAACAGTCGGTGTTATAGGAATATCATTTCTCCTCAGAATTGATCTAGACGCTCAATGGAAGGCTGATCAATAGTGTAACAGATTTTTCTTTTTTTGGTGGAGCTTAATAAAATAGACATCCTAAGAGAGTTATAAAGGTCAAAGAGTTAAGAAGAGCTGAGAGACTCCTTCAGGAGAGGAGTCTTCAGAGAATGATGCTAAGAGAAGCGAGGGGACCGCAGGGAGACAGCGTTGGGCGGAGGAGCAGAGACGTTCCCGGATTCAGACACTTGCCGACTGTGGGCTGCATGGCGGGCGGGCGGGCGGCTGCAGATTTCAACACACAGACTCAAACAACTAGGTTTTTAGAGAGAACCTAGCCCTGGATCCTGGGCTGACCTCCACCACTGCCCACACCCAATTAGAGGCAGTGGCTCCCTTTCTCAATAAAAATCAAATCCTTTAATGCAAATCATTTCACAGCACCCCCATCCTTATTTTTCTGATTTACCAACAGACGCTGAACATCTTTCCATATCAATAAATAGAGATTTTTACATCAATGGACCAAGTGCATTTCATCAGTCCACTGATGGATTTGTCTCATCTAATTTGCTATTATAAATGCATTGCGCACAGCTGCATAAAAGTTCCAGATTTTCTCACAGTCCATATCCCCAAAGCTTCTCTCAGACTTGGCGAGAGACTTTTTAAAGTCTTTTTTTAAAATGATAAATGAGTATTTTTTTTAAATGATAAATGAGCTTTCTGAGCAACTCCATGTAGCCTCGTTCAGTATTTTATTGCATTTGCTTTTATTTGTACAAAGAGGTATGGGGAAAAAAGCAAATGAATGTGCAGCTCCAGGTGATAAGCACTATAGAGTCACATACTCTTAAAATTGACACAGAGATAACAACATACTCAGCCTCCTGAATGCGCTCATCTGAGCCACAATCATGGCTCGCTACAGTGCGTTCCTTCACTGGTATTTAATCATCAGAGAAGAGAAGAGGCCCAAAGAATACGAGTGGAAGGCTGGGAACACCTCCTATCAGCCACAGTGTAAAAAGGAAATGTCCAATTAGAAATCTTATCTTTTGAAATTCCTTGGGAAGCAAATCTATTATTTTTAACCTTGATTTGCTTGCACCTTTTTTTTCCCTTCTTCCAGAATTCCAGGGTGTGAGAAAGCAAGGGACAGCCTCCGGTTTCACTCCCCTGATTGGTCCCATAGGATAAATTTCTAGAAAGATCTTTCATGGGCCAAAGGGCATGGTGACACGGTGGGTATATCAGGGGCCCTTGGGGAGCAGGAACGTCCCCTGAGAAAGTGGCGAGCCAACCCACCCCCACCTAGCCCCCAACCAGCACTGCCCTCAGTGCTGGGGTCTCTGTGTCAACCTAAGACAATTTAGTATAATTTGCATTTCTTAGATGTTGAGCATTCCCCCTGAGTCCTTACCTCTAGCACGCTGACAGAATCTGCCTGATCGTGTGGTTGGTAGGTCCCTTGAGTGGGCGTTATGTCAAATGTATTACACAATGGGTATACATCCCAAGCAGTCAGCAAGCAGGATCTATTCTGTCCCCTATGCTGTTTCATTTATGAACTATTTTTTTTTTGGGGGGGAGGGGACCTACTCCTGCTCTGACTCAGGAATTGCTCCTGGTGGTGTTTGGGGAACTAGAGGGATGATGCCGGGGATTGAACTCAGGCTGGCCACATGCAAGGCAAACGCCCCACCCCTGATATTCTCATCCTCTGTCAAGTGTCTTTTGCCTATTTAAAAATTATTTGTTTGTTTGGGGGTGGGGGTCACATCTGCCTGTACTCAGGGGTTCCTCCTGGCTCATGCACTCAGGAATTACTCCTGATGGTGCTCGGGGTTCCATATGGGATGCTGGGAATCAAGCCCGGGTAAGTTGTGGGCAAGACAAACACCCTACCTGCCGTACAATCTCTCCGATCCATCCTTTGCCAATTAAAAAAGATTTTTTTTTTAAATTCAGTCACCAGCAGATGACAATGGCATTCATGATTAGGTTTCGGGCATAGTGGTGATCCCCGTCTCTCTCCCGCCCACCAGCCTGTCCCAGACCAGGCTCTCTTATTTTCTAGTAACTTTTGGCACTGTGGTTTACTGACAGTGTTTTAGGACCAGCACTTTACCGCCTTTCAGCACCCCGAGTCCTCTGGACAGACCTTCCGTCCATCACTGCTGGAAGGGCCCTTCCTGGCCTCATCCTCACACACCCCCAGTCCGTGCGGCGCTTCCTAATGAAGACCAGTTCTCGCGTTGTTTCCACTGCCTTCGCTTCACCTCTTTCTTATTGATTTATCCTCCGAGTTTCTTATAAAGAAAAGCTATTAACTCCTGGCCTATGCCATCCTTATTTCCTCCAACTTGTCATTAAACATTTTTATGAGAAGGCCTCCGCTCTCCGCCTGATCGCCTTCCAGTGCTCGGCTGGTTTTATGTTTTCCCATTTCACTCTAACCCAGCAGGCGTGGCTTCGGGCAGTGGAGGGAGCGAGGCTGCTGCTATGTTCGTGCAATGGACGTGGATTCCCTTAGCAATCTGAAAACAAGACCCTGAATATTAATCCTAGAATCAAGCTTCTTGCTCATACGCTCACTGCCATGGTCAATCCCGGGCCCTGAACTCCCAAAGCTGGGCACAGCCGTGAGTGTAGAGGGAGGGACGCCCAGGGACTGCTTCTGGCAGGGGACCTTCTCGTCCTTATTTCAGGCCTCAGGGCAGAATTCCCATCCCAGCTACTCCACTGCACCTTGCCAGTGACGACACGCGTGAATGAGTACACATGTGAGTGCATACATACCTGCGCCAATAAACCAGTATAAATTGATTTCTATGTGTCATACAATTCCTCTCTTGATTTCCATCCAGTCATTTAAAAGTGTCAGAGCAGTCTTTGCCTCTGGACTATGCAGAGCCAGTGGGTGCCCCGCTGAGCTCTGCAGCTGAGGGGCCACTGGTGCTGATGGGGGAAGGGGGCGGGGGTCTCCCAGCCACTGAGCGGCCGCGGAGAAAGAATACCCAGCACTGGATGGAGCCTACCGGGGCTGAAGCAATGTGTTTTAATTTTATGGCATCCTAATTAAATAGCCACGCGTGGCCTGTAGCTATAGGATCGAACGGTGTCCATGAGCAGACGAAAGCCAGGGAAAATTAAATGTACGAACAGCTGGGCACAGGCTTGAGAGCGGCGTCTCTGCCCCAGGGGCCTGTGCCGACACAGAACCCGAATACTGCGCTCTGTGAGATGCATTCTGTGAGATGCACTCCGGGAGATGCGCTTGGTGAGACGCGCTCGGTGAGACGCGCTCAGGGAGATGCGCTCAGGGAGATGCACTCCAGGAGATGAGCTCGGTGAAGGCTCCACAGTGTGCGCGCACGCGGGAGGCCCTCTTGGTCTCCAAAGGCCTCTGCCTGGGCCTTGGGGTCTCGGGAAGGCCTGCTCGGACCGGCTTCTCACCGCGCTTTCCTTTCCTCTGGACTCCGCCCGATCCCATCTCTCTTCCCGGCTCCCGACTGTGCTCCCAGGCGCGCGCGTGCGCGCACTCACCGTGGGGTCCAGCTGGCTGTTGCACGTGGTGATGGACAGCTCGATGGTGGACAGCTGCATCTCCTGCCAGTCCTCGGGGCGTGGCGCCTGGGAGAGGGCTGCGGGGCAGTGTGGGTGGTCAGTCTCTCTCCGGCACCGCCTCTGCCCGCGGACCCTGCGGCCCAGCCAGGCACCCAGACCTCCCTCTCTCCACCCACGCGAGCAGCTGGGCTACACTGGAGGCCGGGCCTCCCCCCTGTGCCCCCCACCCTCCCACTCTCCTTCACACACCGTCTTGGGGCGGGGCCCAGTAGCCAGCCAGCCGCCGCAGGATCCTCCGGTACAGAGAGGGCCGGGTCGGGGTCTCCTCGGCGCTGCTGGGGGGTCGTTCTCGGGGTCCCGTGTACGCGATGGAGGCTTGATGTGTCTGAGGCCACTCCTGTGACGGGAAGGGTGGAGCCAGGGGCAGGTCGGTCCAGCGCCCCCTCGGGTGTGTTTGGCAAGGCTGGTGGGGCTCTCCTGGCACCAGCCAGTGCCCCTCATGGCAGGGCGCCGGGGGTCCCCGCGAATCCCCAATGTGGAACCGCCCCCCACTTTCCCTAACCAAAGCCCCCCTGGGAAACCAAGGACCCAGCAGCCGTGGCCGCCTCGCTCTCCTCACTGGGCAGAGAGCCAAGCTGACTGGAGACCCCTGCCCGGGCCCAGGTCTCCACATCCTGCTCCAACCCACCCCTCAAATGATGTTCGGTTTAAGATGGTGACACACGTGAAATGGACAGAATGTCCAGGGGTACTGGACACCTGCAAACCCTGTACCAGAGGCCAGAGCTCCACCACTCAGCCTGCCCCTCCCTCCAACCCCTAGCCCTGGGTTCTTCGCTTCTACCTCCTCCTGGAATCCCAACCCAGTGGCCAGCGAATGGCCATCAAGGTCCATCACAGAATGATGGGCAAGACATCACTGCTTCTCCATCCCTGGCGCTGCCTCTATCCAACCCAAGACGTGGTCACGATTCCAACTCAGAAACCGGAAACTCTCTCTCTAGACCCAGTCTTTGTTATTGCAGTCTGCTTAAATTCTTCCTTTTGGTGGGGGGAGGTGGTAAGGAGGTGTTGCCCCCCGGGCGGTGCTCAGGGTCCACACAGTGCTGGGGATTGAACCAGTGGGGCCCGCTGGGCTCTCCCTGGCCTGTGCTGGGTCTCTCGGAGCCAGTACCTCTGCTGCTCTCGAGTGTCCCCGGGGTGACGAGGAAAGTCACGTTCTCCCTGAGTCCCATCCCTGACCCTTCTCTCTGTGCGCTGAGCCTGGCAATACTGTGTCCGGAGAAGCTCTGGGTACTCAAATTCAAAACAATTTTTTTTAATTAAGAAAATAAAATTAAAGCACCAAGTTGCTGAGAATTCTGGTCCTGTCCATGGTTTCCCCTGCAGGAAGTCTAGCGGGAGTTTCACAAGCGCACACTGGTGGGTACCACCAGGGGCGCACACCTGAATGGGGTTTCATCAACACAAACCGCAGTGCCAGAGTCACTGTGGTGTGGTAAATCGCTCTCTTTTTTCTTGGTGCTGGGTCTGCCTGGCTTCTGGGTCTCTGCCTGGTCTGTCACTGGGGTTTGGTTCTGCGTCAGTGTTGAGATGGGGCGGGGGGGGGGGGGGGACGACGGACAATCATTTCCCCAGGCCTGGATTCGGGGAAACCATCACTGAGGAACATGTGGTCTCTTGTCTCCTATCTCCCGACAGCTCTTGGTCTCGAGACCTCAGTGCTCCTGAACTTTTCCCAGCCCTGGTTATCCGTTTTCCTCAAAGGCTCCTCAGCACTGCCGGCCCTTCCAGCAATCACGGTGCTTCCTGAACTCCCCCTTCGGCTGCCCTGAGGAGCATCTGGACACTTGCTGTATTACAGCCTGGCCTGGGTCAGGGAGGTTACCCCAGGAGCTTCCCCTCCCCCCTCCAGGGGCCTCACTGTCTGACACCAGCTCTCAGCCCCACCCAGTCCCTGGTTCTTCCCATTTCCTCCTAACCTATGGGTCTGGAGAAGAAATGGAGCCGTTGTCTCGGTGTGGATAGGCCCAGCCCTCCTATCACTGAAAGTCCATTTTAATCATCATGTGAACTAGTTAGGTCTTGTACTTCAGTGGCGTTATTTTACTTTATTGCATTTCACCAACTTTTGGCGGGGTTGAAGGGAGGGCATGCATGGCTGTTTGGGAACCACTGGCCCTCTGAGTCACCTCACCCGGCTCTCCACTTAATTCTCAAATCCACTGGAATTCAGAAGGCGAAGGAAGGGAGCTCTGTTTCTCCAAATATTTAGCAATGGGCAGGTACTACTTAGATAGTTAGAAAAAGACTCGCTATTCGGAACATTCACAGTTTTACTACAGACCATCAAACACCAATTTTCGGACTGGCCAGAGAAGTGGTGAATTTGCACCAGAGCTGAGTCGGAACTGAGGACCCTGAGGAGTGCGCAGGTGAGGATGCGAGTGGCGTCCACACACACGTGCTTCCCAGAGAGTCCAGAGACAGCCCTGGGGAACGCGCTCTGAGGACAAGCACTGTCTCCTCTGCTCAGCCCGCCTGAGCGATGACACAGCACATGTTCAGATGATAATCTTCAATTCACTGTACAGATCCTAATATAGATATGCTGACAATAATTGATAGGATAGAGATCATTGTGTTCAAGGTTTATATAACAGGAGTGAGTGAAGAGGCAAAGGGAAGGGAATAATGAAGAAATATTAAACCTGGGTTTGGGAATTAGGGGAATAGAGGGTTATGCTATGTGTGTGTGTGTGTGTGTGTGTATTTGGGAATTAGGGGAATGGAGGGTCATGCTGTGTGTGTGTGTGTGTTTGGGAATTAGGGGAATGGAGGGTCATGCTGTGTGTGTGTGTGTGTGTGTGTGTGTGTGTGTGTGTGTGTGTGTATTTGGGAATTAGGGGAATGGAGGGTCATGCTGTGTGTGTGTGTGTGTTTGGGAATTAGGGGAATGGAGGGTCATGCTGTGTGTGTGTGTGTGTGTGTGTGTGTATTTGGGAATTAGGGGAATGGAGGGTCATGCTGTGTGTGTGTGTGTGTGTGTGTGTATTTGGGAATTAGGGGAATGGAGGGTCATGCTGTGTGTGTGTGTGTGTGTTTGGGAATTAGGGGAATGGAGGGTCATGCTGTGTGTGTGTGTGTGTGTGTGTGTGTGTGTGTGTATTTGGAAATTAGGGGAATGGAGGGTCATGCTGTGTGTGTGTGTGTGTGTGTATTTGGGAATTAGGGGAATGGAGGGTCATGCTGTGTGTGTGTGTGTGTGTGTGTGTATTTGGGAATTAGGGGAATGGAGGGTCATGCTGTGTGTGTGTGTGTGTGTGTGTGTGTGTGGTTCTGGGGGTGCAACTCAGACCCTCGCACATATTCTACCACTGAATTAGATCCCTGGCCCTGCAGGGTTGACTGAAACAGGAACACTGTCTCTCTGAATTTATACCCCCCAATTTAGTATTCGAGAATGTCATCTACCTCAGCAGCAAGGAAATAAATTTTAGGAAAAAAAAGAAAAAGCAAAGTCCAAGTACAAAGCACATCTCTGCACCGTAAATCGCACGTACCTTAAGCGTGCTGAAAAAGTGCGCGGCTTTGGTTTTCAGAGGCCCGAGGTACCAGTACCTGAGGAAGATGATAAAAACGGAATCAGAACCTTCCAGAGCCCGCAGTGTGACTGTACTTGCGACAGCACAGGAGAATGACGCGTCTGTCTGCAGTGCGGGGGGGCTGAGGCGCGGGGGGGTGGGGAGGCCTGAGCCAGTGTCACCGTCCAATTTCCCCATCTGCGTCCCAATGCCCCGTCAGGCCGTGTCTAATTACTACTTAGCCCGGGACACGCTGGCTCCTCACCATGTTCTAGGACACAGGCCCTGCCTCCTTGGATTTCCACACTCTGGATGGATTGGTGTGCTGTGCTGTGCTGTGCTGTGCTGTGCTGTGCTGTGCTGTGCAGCTGAGCGCTCGTTGGGGGGGAGCAGGGGGCGGAGGCTGGGGAAGCCCCGCCACGCAGACGCTCCCGAACGCCCAGTTCTCTGGCGCACAGACAATGACAATTTGTCAGCGGGCGCAATTTCCCTTCCCTCGTGTTCCACAGCTGTGACACAGCCAATGTTCAGGCTGGGAGTGGGGCGGGCGGGCTGCTCCTGCTGAGAACGTAGAGGCACCTCACTGGGACGGCTGGGGAGGCGTGAAGCCGACTGGGCTCGGAGCTCATCTATCTGGCTCTCGGGGCGGCTCGGCGGAGCTGCTCGTGCCAGGCTGATCAATGCACACTTATTAAGCACTTGCTACCAACGTGGGGGGAGGAGGGACGGGGAGCGTGGAATTCCTGCATGGAGGACTCGTCGATTGAGAAAAGAAGGCTCCTGAGTCCAGCGGGGAAATGTGCTCTCAGCTGGGCACTGTTCGCTGGGAAGGAGAATGAGGGCCGCACCTTTGCTTGTGGACAGCACAGCCTGAGAACCCAGACAGGGTGCAGTTCTGTTGAGAACTGCCGGGGGTGGGGGTGGGGGAGAGCTAGGGGGGCTCTTCCAGGTAAGACAGGTAATGAAGACGAACAGAAAAACAGCAGGAGCAAACGCATCCATTAAAGACAGTCAAACTAGGTCCCCTGGGGTGATGACCTCTAACTGGACCTTGAGCCCCAGGACACGCCTGCGGGACTGTTCCCATCTCTACCCAGGCATGTGGGGATGCTATGAATGAGGTCTTTCCTCACCTGATTTTTCTTTAGCCCTTTCCTTCTTTGCTGCCATTCCCTTTCTTGGTTTATTCCATTGAAAAGGACATCCTGGGGTTAGGGTCCTAGCGCAGAGATTACTGAGCATGTGCAAGTCTGGTTTGATGCCCACCATCACATGGACTCCCACCCCCCATCACCCTGGATGGGTCAAGCGCTCTATGGCACCTCACAACCTAAGCAGCTTTGGGCCTCAGCAGAGAATCAATGGGAATGGATTCCAGGAGCCCTAATCACACAAGCAAGGGATGGAGGGAAAGAAAGATGGAAGGGAAGAAGGGAGGGAGGGAGGGAGGGAGGGAGGGAGGGAGGAAGAGAGGAAGGGAGGGAGGAAGGAAGGAAGGGAGGGAGGGAGGGAGGAAGGGGAGGGAGGGAGGGAGGAAAGAAGGATGGAAGGAAGGAAGGGAGGGAAGAAGGGAGGGAGGGAGGGAGGAGGGAAGGAGGGAGGGAAGGAGGGAAGGAGGTAGGGAGGGAGGAAGGTAGGGAGGAAGAATGGAAAGAAGGAAGGAAGAAAGGGAGGGAGGGAGGAAGGAAGGGAGGGAGGGAGGATGGAAGGGACGAAGGATGGAAGGGAGGGAGGGAGGGAGGAAAGAAGGAAGGAAGGAAGGAAGGAAGGAAGGGAGGGAGGGAGGGAGGAAGGAAAGAAGGGAGGAAGGAAAGAAGGGAGGAAGGAAAGAAGGAAGGGAAGAGAGCGCGAGAGTGCGCGTGTGCAAGAGAGAGAGAGAGAGAGAGAGCGCGCACCCCCTTCCTGGCCGAGCAGCTTATTTGGACACTGTCCTCAGTTCCCTTCCCCGCTCCCCTTAGTGACAGGCCACTAGGCCCACGCATTCCACCCGCCACACCAGAGAAATCCTTTACTTGCTAACTTTGACGCCAGCATCTCTGAAGGACCCCCACCGCAGGCCGGTCACGGCAAACACAGGCTGTTCCTTCTCACCCTGCAAAGCAAAGACATTCATTTCAGCGCGTGCGGTCATGCCACAGGGCAGACATTTGAGGCGCACTTTTCACAGAACGACATTCTCAAAAGGACATTTCACATCTGACAAACCAACCCTGGGAGGGTTCGGCAGAAGTGGCTCAAATGAGGTGCCCTGGAAAGTGAGAGGGATTTCAGCAGCTTAGGGCCGGGCCTCGGGGGGACACATCCTTCTCCTTGAGACAGCGGTGAGAGCCAAGAGTGGTGGGCCCGCCCGAGGTCTCCCTGGTGCAGAGCAAAGGGCAGAGTCGTGGTCCTGGGATGTGTCCCACGAGGCTCTGAGCAGACAGTCGTTCTCTGTCGCGAGGAGTCTGAGCCCAAGGTGGATCGGATCTGGTCCGATGCTGCACAAACTGCAGTCAGTGTCTTCCGTCGGTGAGTCGGGCCATACTGAGAAAGCGGCTGCCACGAAGATGCCCCACCCCTGCCCTGAGCCCGTCCTCTGGCACCAAGACCATAAATGCCAGGAGCTACAGGCCCTTTCCGTAGCTCTGGGCCACAGCTGGACACAGGAACCACTACCTGTACCGTTAGGCCCGGGCACTCACTGAGAGGTGCAAGGCCTGCTCTCTGGCCCCAAAGCCAAGCTCAGCGGCTGCGGGAGGGATGTCCCCATGCCCGGGACACCAAGACAGGGAGGACTTGTAGGAACGAACACAGACACACACACGCGGTCAAGGGAATCTACTTAACTCCTAATTCCCCTGGAATTTTCTCCTCTGCCACACACAGACGCAGCAGTCACCTGCTCAGTCACCAGGCAACAGGTCAAGGTTCTCCTCTGGGCAGAGCTAGTTTCAAATACAGGTGCTGATTTATAGGATTTACAGCTTTCCTGGGCCTGAGTTTCTTTCAGCACAGTCCTTCTACTTTGCGAGGACAATTTCGTTTTACGAGAGACCGAAGAATCCTCTTGAGCTTAAATCACTTTGATCCCGACCAGTGAGGTCACCGTGGAGATTCGACCTCTGCGGGAAGCAGAAGAAACGTGGATGTGGGCCCTGGGAAGAAGCGCCTGGCAGGGCGCTGTGGTGGCAGGGACCGTCCTCCATGGGTGAACACCCTCGTTCCTCGCCTTTGGAGGGCAGCCTGAATGTCGCCGGGACATCTGAGGGTCAGAGCTGAGGCAAGTACCAAAGGTTCACAGCTGAGTTCTTTTTGTTTTCTGTTTTTTTCTTTTTGGGTCACACCTGGCGATGCTCGGGGGTTAAGTCCTGGCTCTGCACTCAGAAATTACTCCTGGCGATGCTCGGGGGACCAGATGGGAAGCCAGGGATCGACCCCAGGTGGGCTGCATGCCAGGCAAACGTCCTCCCCACTGTACTATCACTCTGGCCCCTCACAGCTGAGTTTTTGACTTATTGATTTAGTCTTCTCAGAGATCTGCCCTTTTGGGGGGTGGAGGCAGATGATAAGATGACGATAAAGGAAGAAGTACTGAGAATACAGAAGAGAGCACTGGCTTTCTAAGAATCCTTTCGAGCTCCTTTTGAAGAGAAGCTCCTGATCAAGAATCGGGTGGGCTCCCGGGCAGGCTCCTGTCACCCTTTTCCTTCGCCAATATGCCAACACTCACCAGCTGTGAGCAACGTTTCCACGTCTTGTCTAGACTCACCATCTGCAAGTGTCTCCCGTGCCAGCTTACTCTGCGTGCACAAACGTTCCGTAGCACTGGCCAGTCACTTGCAAAAAAATCGCAGCTTGTGACCTTGTGCCCTTCAGTGCCTCAGCATCCACTTCTCCGGAAGAGGGACACAGAGAGACACACCTCAGCACCGCGGTAGTTCTGAGAAACCCAACACTATTACCTCAGACCCATGCACAAGCCGTGCTAACATGGCTCCCTTGAGTCTAATAATATAATAACATCCCCATTTTGCATTTTTACAATCGAAGCTCTCATTCTAGATTTATCTTTAGTTTCTTTCTTCTTGAACAGACGTTCTCTTCTTTTGGATTTCAAGGTAAGGATGTTTTTGAAGAGGTCAGGTCAACTGTTATTTTCCGAATGTCCCACGAAGTAATTGATTTTTTTTCGCCCTTGTTATTAGATGTATGTACATTCTGACTAGCTAATGTTTGGGGCAGAACACAACATACCTAATGTGCTAGAGCCTTCTCAACAGACCACACCAAGAGGCAGAAAATGACCGATCCATTACTGATGATACTGAGTCGGGGCGTTTGATGATGGGGTGTCGGTGCTAGATTTCTCTACTTATTATAAAGGCCATAATTCCCCCTCTGTGATTACTAATTTCAAGGCTATAGTTTATCCAAACGGTTTTGGCATTCAATGGTGATCTCGGCCCAAATTATTCACTGGTGATTGCAAAATGCTAACTCTCCTTTTATTTGGGGGGCGAGGGGGCACGACATCCAACAGCACTTAGGGAACCATGTGCTCCAACCCTCTGAGCCATCTCCCTGGCCTCAATACAGTCATTCTCCCTCATTCTACACTCTCCGGAAGCTGGCAATCCTTCTATGATGACCACTGGAGAATCACGGATGCTTTATATCAATCATAATTCATTTGCATTTTCCCTCCTTTTTTTTTTAATGTACAAACTCTCTAGGTGGAAGCAGCAGGCTGGTTGCCATGTGTTTCTGTTCTGTCCGTTTTGGCAGGGGTCTTCCTACGCAGTACTCAGGGGTCTCAAAGGCCATTCCACGCAAGAGAAGGGCTGAATGGTTTGGTGCTTGAGCCAGGACAATGCTGCTTGGATCCGGTGGGGTTGGAGGACACTGGGCATCCCCTGGAGGCAGCACCCAGCAGTGCTCAAGAGGCAGCAGGGCCAAACTCAGGGCCCCGAGTGTACCTGAGCACAACAGTCTTCGGAGCACTCTCCTCAGCCCTCCACCTATCTGTGAGTCCTTTGCCACGTTCTTGTCCCATCTCTGAAAGCCATCTTTGCGCTGTTAGGGGTGACATTTGCAGTTGCTGGCTATGGGTACTGGTATGCCCACTGCAGTTGGGTGTCACTGTTTCTAGAATCCCTTTCTGTGGGTGTGTTTTTATTTTTATTTTTATTTTTGGGTGTATTTTTTAAAATAATCCATGAGTTTTTCTACAAATCAATACAACCCTGTGGAAACAGGAAATTCTGTTCTCCGGGAAGCTATTAAGAAGAGCACGTTTCCCTCCAAAGAATGAGAAAAGGCCAGAGAAATCGTGCTGCTTCTTAAGGCCCGCCAGGGAGCTGAGGTGGCAAGATAACCAAGGAATCTGAATTCCAATCACCTGTCCCTGCAAAGGACAGATGGGATGGAAGAAAAAGTTCACCCTTGGCCAGGCACAGGGGAAAGAGGTGGCTGATAGGGCTCAGGGAAGGTAAAATTTGTCTCTTTCTTTAAAAGCTTTGTATGTATTTACTCCTTAATATTCAAAATAGCCATGACACATGAAATAGAGAAGCTACTTGAGATCTGAAGGAAATCAACAGAGGAACTGAAAATAGTGGTCAACTCTATTAGAAGGAGTCATGGTCACGGTCACGGTCCTCCCATTGTTCATCGATTTGCTCGCGGGCCCAGTAACGTCTCCATCGTGAGACTTGTTGTTACTGTATTTGGCATATTGAATACATCATGGGTAGCTGAAGAAGAATTCTAAAATATAACAAAGATATCGAGATATAACATCTACAACCAGTCGTTACGAGGGAGCAGTCTTTCCTTAAATGCTTAAACAGCAGCCCTGAAAATAGTTCTGGCAGTTAATTTTGTAAATTTTATGTGGTACAAATATAAATATATATACATCACCATTTAAAAAGAAGCATCATAAGCCTATTAGTGGTATTTGCTAAGATGAAACTAGTTCTTTTTCTCTGAAAAATTATAGTGGGGAAACCCAAGGTAAGTGGAAAATGGCCATTTTCATTATAGTCTCATCTAAACGGCTACACTTCCTTTAATTTACAGACGTGGATTTTGTTCATGCTTTTCAAACTCCGAAGAAAAGACCTTACCTTGATCTGTAACACGTCGAGCGGGACCGTCTCCCCCTTCACAATGGCGAGTGTGGCCTCCGTGATGTGTCTGCAGACCATGAGAGGGGCAAGGTCGCATTGTGGAAAGCAAGCACACCTCTCCTCACCGCCCCTCTCTCCAGCCCCCCGACACCCACAACACACCCACCCGCAGAACACCTCCCCTACACAGCACATACCTCGCACATCCCACACACACCTCAACACCTCACAGCATACCTCACACACGCCACACACCCCACACCTCACACATCCATACCTCACACTCACCAAACACAAAACAGCTCACGCATCATACCTCACAAACACACCACAGATTCATACACACTACAACCCCCTCCCAGCCCCCTCCCCCCCCACACACCTCACACGTCCCACACATCCCACAACCCCCTAACCTCCAGACACCCACACACATGCCTCACAGGGTGCTAATGCTCAATAAGAAGACATTCCTGTAATATTCTAAGAATGCAAAACAGAGGAGTATGACAAGAATCACAGATTCCGTGGAACGCTAGGAACTAGCAACCGAAAAGAAAAGGTGGGAAAGAGAGGTTTATAGAAAGCAAAACCTATTTTTTTTTTACTCAGTATTCACTGGATTTCTACATTATGCCTGACTCTCAGTGGAAAACGACACTTAAAGGAAGAACAATTGTCCTCCATTCCTTGTAAGAAAGTCAGGAACTTTTCAAAACTAAATTTCTTTTTACCCTAACAACCCAAGGGTAACTAAAGGAAGAACTGCTTTGAGATTCTAAGTTTGAAGTTTTAAGATTTGTTGGACTTACTCTAGCAAATACGGCCCATAACCCAGAACATATATCTCTTACTTTCCAGGACTGGGCTGGAGCAATAGCACAGCAGTAGGGCGTTTGCCTTGCACGCAAGCCAGCCCGGCCGAGCCGGCTCGATTCCTCCGCCCCTCTCAGAGAGCCTGGCAAGCTACCGAGAGTATGTTGCCTGCATGGCAAAGCCTGGCAAGCTACCTGTGACGTATTCAATATGCCAAACACAGTAACAAGTCTCACAATGGAAATGTTACTGGGCCTGCTTGAGCAAAATCTGAACAACGGGAGGACAGTGTTTGTTTGTTTCCAGGATTACTAGAGTATGCTTCATTTTAATCACTGTGTCTTTTGTTCAAAGACACACAAGATACTGTGTCTACATTTGGATGGTGAAGATTTAGTTTTAAAAGGCTCATGCCTTTGTTACCCAATATGGCCAGGTGGCACCACAGCAGGCTCAGAAGCAGGTCTACGGCTCCCAGTCTCAGTTATCCAAGAGATAGCCAGCAAAGAAACAGCAAATCAACAAAGGGCCAGAAAGAAGCTGGCCACAATCAGAGCATAAAGAACAAATATTCCCACACCCAGTACTTTCTTGCCTGGCCCATCCATCAGCCCTGGAGCCTCTCTGCTTTCTCTTTGACTAGCTGCCATTCCCACCCTACATGAATCTTGGCTGTAATGTCCCCATCTATCCCAACTAGCCACAGGTAGATCTCCCCTGTAAGCTCTGTCATGGAACCCGATTCACTTTCCTTCACAATTTGTCACTATCACTGTCCTCCCGTTGTTCATCGACTTGCTTGAGCGGGCCCAGTAACATCTCCATTGTGACAATTGTTACTGTGTTTGGCATATCGAATACGTCATGGGTAGCTTGCCAGGCCTTGCTGTGCGGGCGAGATACTCTCGGTAGCTCACCGGGCTCTCTGAGAGTGGCAGAGGAATCGAACTCGGGTCGACCATGTTGGCTGCATGCAGGGCCATGCAGCAAGGCGAATGCCCTACCCACTGTGCTATGTGTAACATAATTGTTTTATCATCCACCTCCTCCTGGATACAGTTCCAGAAAGTAAAACATTTACTGGCCAATGTAAAACCCTGACTTGGCACAGCCCATGGCCCATGATAGGGAATACTGGCTGCCTTCATAAATATATGTTTTTCTCTAAAGTTTCAAGTATATCAAAATAATGCACCAAATCAGGGAAGTGGCTCAGCAATCGGGCATACACCTTGCAGGGTACGAAGCCCTCGGTTCAATCCTTGGCAATCCTTGAAAAGCAAATGAACAACAATAAACACTCAAAGAACAGAGAGTTCTTGTCCTAAATTTCCCCTTAATCTGCATTAATTAAAGCAAATTCCAGAAGTCTCAACATTTCATTTTTTATAAATACTTTCTATGTATCTCCAAAAGAGAGACACCTTAAATAAACATAAAATTTGATTATTCTATCTTGGGGCTGGAACCCTAGCACAGTGGGTAGAGCACTTGCCTTGTACAAGACTGATTGGGGTTTGACCCCCAACATCCCAAATGGTTCCCCCTGGCACCAATGAGTGCCAAGTCAGAAATAACTCCTCAGTATAGCTGGTTGTGGCACCCCAAAACAAACAAAAAATTCTATTATGATATCTAAAACATTTAAATAATTCCTTTATATCAATGTTCGGAGAGCCCGGCAAGCTACCGAGAGTATTCGATATGCCAAACACAGTAACAACAAAGTCTCCAATGGAGACGTTACTGGGCCCGCTCGAGCAAATCGACGATCAACGGGAGGGCCTTTACCTTTACCTTATATCAATGTATATTTAGTCAATATAGAAAGTTGCTCCATTAACTACATGACCTTATGTATGTGTGCATGTGTGTGTGTGTATCACTGTCACTGTCCTTCCGTTCATCGAGAGGGGTAGAGGAATCGAACTCAGGTTGGCCATGTCGGCCGTATGCAAGGCAAACGCCCTACCCACCTGTGCTATCGCTTCAACCTATATATGTATATATATAAACATATATATGTATATATATGTTTATATATATGTTCAGATTAGCATCACTTGTTGAAATAACTACCAATTATTTCAATATTGAAATCAATACTCCACTGAATTAATTTTCTTGGTAGCACCATAAAAAAAAATCCAAATTCTGGATACTTTCTTCTAATAATTCACGTGGATATTATTTTGCCAACTTTTAAGTTTCGGTAAGTACTGAAACTTCATTGTTCTTTTATTCTATTTTAATCCCTTAATTGTTCCATACAAATTTTAGAATCTACTTCTCAATTTTTACAAGAAGTATTCTGCAACTCTGAGATTCTGTTGAAGTTACAGATCATTTTAGAGAAAAATGAGTCTTAGTTCGTCAGTCTTGCACGTGACAGCTCTCCGGTTACTCAGCTCCTTTTGATTTCTTTCTTTAGGGCTTTGTAGTTTTCAGCATATGATTCATACATATTTGGTCGGGTTTATCCCTTGGTAATTCTTGATTTTTTTAGGGCTTGCAATCTGGTTTATTTATTTTATTTATTTATTTTTTGCTTTTTGGGTCACACCCGGCGATGCACAGGGTTACTCCTGGCTCTGCACTCAGGAATCACTCCTGGCGGTGCTCAGGGGACCTTATGGGATGCTGGGAATCGAACCCGGGTCGGCCGCATGCAAGGCAAACGCCCTACCCGCTGTGCTATTGCTCCAGTCCCCTTATTTATTTTAAAAATTTTCTTTATTACTTTTCGAAAAAAGTGTGCTGGAGCGATAGCACAGCAGTAGGGCGTTTGCCTTGCACGCAGCCAACATAGCTGACCCGAGTTCGATTCCTCCGCCCCTCTCGGAGAGCCCGGCAAGCTACCGAGAGTATCTCGCCCGCACGGCAGAGCCTGGCAAGCTCCCCATATGCCAAACATAGTAACAACAAAGTCTCTAATGGGGACATTACTGGGCCCGCTCGAGCAAATCGATGATCAATCGGAGGGCCTTTACTTTACTTACTTTACTTTTCGCAAAAAGTGTCACAATGTCCACTGCATTGCTGTTGTATGTTTTTTAAAAAAATGACTAGGATAATTATTAAGGATTTATTGAGCACACCTAGAAGACAGGAGTTATTTGGGAGTACCTTAATTTCTTTTTCTTTTTTCTGGTTTTTGGGCCACACCTCATAGTGCTCGGGGCCCACGTGCATTTTGTTGTTTCTACAATCTTCTGAAGGACTATAGCTGTCATTCACTCAATACAGCTGAGGAACTGGACTCGGATGAAATAAAAATCCCAAGACAACAGAACTAAACGTCACCAAAGAGAAGGTGGTTCAATCCACCTGAGAGGTCCTGCTTCTCAGAGGGCGATGTTGCCCTCCGTGGCCAAGGGGTGTCTGTGTACCCCACCAGAAAGTTAACCACTTGGCACTCCACAAGTGGCCCCCGATCCATCCTTGTCCCCGTGAGTGGGTCTGAGAGACACTCTAGAGTCACAAATCAGAGCCTCTTAAATTCATTTTTCTAACAAAGTTAATTGTATTTTAAGGTACTTTACAATTCTAGTATGTTACCTTGGATTCTTAGATGTCCACTCTGAGCTAGGGGGTCAACGAGCTGAAATATTTACTTTCCCATATTTCCCTATCAGTGATGAATCTTTATCCGACTCCGTCCCTTCAGCACAGATGCTATTCAGGAAGAAGGCGTCAGTTTAGAACGGGAGGCTTGACATGGCAGAAAGCAAGCAGGTGACCGTGACTATGAATTCAGAAGGAAGCGACCAGAAAGGGTGCTGACACACTGGCCCTCCTCCAGATGGATGACAAAGAGGTTTGGGAGAGCTCTGGAGAGACAGATCTTTCGAAAGATGATACAACCGAGTGGCCTTCTTTTACTCATTTCCTTTTCCAAGATTTCTTGGCAGAAGACAGCAAAATGCAAGCTAAAATTTATCTTTCTCTAGTGATAATTGAAAGTTCTAAATAAAGCAGTACAATTGCACAGAACAGCTACATTTAAGATTATTTACCTGCAATCCAATTACCTTGAATTCCAGGTTATTTTTTTCTTTTTTCTCTTTCTGCAGTAATTATGGGGACAATAAATCTTCACAGCAGTGCAAAAAAAAAAAAAAGCCAATCCTTGTTCTTTTAAAAGGTCTTGGGTCTCTACCATGTTAAGAGGGCGATAAAATCTGAAGCCTGGGGCAGACTTAATTACCGTAAGCCCTGGAGCATGATTGTAAATTAAGTTTTATGAATTTTTTAAAAAAATTTAAAAAAGAGAGGCAGAGCAATAGTGCAGCAGGTAGGGAGCTTGCGTGGCAGGTGCCCAACCCGGGTTCGATCTGCAGCATCCCATCTGGTTCCCAGAGCAGCGCCAGGAGTGATTCCTGAGTCCAGAGCCAGGACTGAACCCTAAACATCACCAGGTGTGGCCCCCAAAAGAAAAACAAAAACTCTAAAGAGCACCAGCAACACCGTCCCTTTGAGTCTGGGGGATTCTCAGCTCGGGCCAACCCCAAAGGCTATTCCCTGCCCCAGAGGGCTGCAGGAGAGGCCAGGGGCTCCCCGAGTAGTGGGGAAGGGTGTGAGGGTACAGTTCACAGTCCACGGTGGCCTGAGGGGCAGAGGAGCTATCTAGGGTGCAGGGAGGGTGAAAGGCCCCGGCCGGCCACCGTGGTGGGTGGGCAGGGTGTTTGGAGAGCACCCAGCTAGAGTGACCCAGGCCTGAAGCGGGCAGGGCTCAGACAAGCGAAGAGTCTGGGGGGAACAGTGCGATTATCTATCACCCCAGAAAGTCTCGCTGTGTGCCAAGCACAATGACACCTCAGCTAGGTTCGAGATGAGTGGGGGAGAGATGGCACTCCCTCATATGTACATTAAGGCTGCAAGCCCTGATACACGTGTGGTTCACACCGGGTGTCTGATACAAGGGCCAAGGTTTTTACAAAATAAATAAATTAAGTAATTAAAAAAATTTAAAAAAGGACATTGATTCCTATTAGACACTGATTCCTAATAGATATCGATTCCTAATAGTATAACATTTAATGTATAATTACAATATAATTATAATAATTAATTTACAATATAAATATTATAAATACTATAATCACTGTCACTATCACTGTCCTTCTGTTGTTCATTGATTTGCTCGAGCAGGCCCAGTAACACTGTGAGACTTGTTACTGTTTTTGGCATATCGAATATGTCACGGGGAGCTTGCCAGGCTTTGTCGTGTGGGCGAGATACTCTCAGTAACTTGCCGGGCTCTCAGAGAAAGGCGAAGGAATCGAACTCGGGTTGGCCCTGTTAGCCACATGTAAGGCAAATGCCCCACCCGCTGTGCTATCGCTCCAGCCCAAATACTATAATATCGATATTAATAAAATAAATATTAGTATAAACATAATATTATAAATTAATACTATTTTTATATTATCAATGCAGAGTCACGAAAGTCTGCCTCACAAAAATCCTAAAGCAGGAAAAAAAATAACCCACCAGAGTATTATTATAGCAATAGAGTCTAGTAGATTATATTATATCTAGAATGTCCTAAGGAGATTTTAATTAACTTATTCAACAAGTAGTAACTGATTTCTTCCACTAAGTCATACAACTTACACTGAAGATCAAACGAGTGCCAACGACAGCCTGAAAGCAATCTGTTCTCTACCATCCAATGACTCTCCAGCAGAGCCCGTGAACCCTCTTGCGATCACAAACTTAAGATCCTGACTTCTCAGAAACCTAAAGTTCTATTTCTATTACGCGCTGGACAGAAAACAACAGCCACAGCAACTCGCCTGACTCCTGGGCACGTTTGCCAAAAAGACCCCGTCAGACTTGTTGCAGTTTAATTGAAATGCCAAGGCCACGCTGCCAGCCGCCAGCTCTGTCCTCCCGGCCCCCACACGAGGCATTCCCCAAAGGACGTGGCTTCATTTAGGTGTCCCAGACACTGATCATAGAGGGATAATGAGCGGGGGCTGCCAGCTCAGGCCCCTCCAGGGACTGCCTATTTGTCATCCCTACGCTTAAGCCATCTCGATGTTAGTGAACTGAACCACGCAGAGCCAGAGACCCGGTAGGATGGGGCAGAACACCAGCATTCATTCCCCAAAGGGTGTGACTTCATTTTGATGTCCCAGCCACTGATCATAGGGAGATAATGAAGGGCACTGCCGGCTCAGGCCCCTTGAGGGACTGCCTATTTGTCATCCTTCGCTTAAGCCATCTCGGCGTTGGTGTACTGAACCACGCAGAGCTGAAGACCCGGTGGGATGGGGCAGAAGACTGGCATTCATTCTACACTAACTGGGGGAGGACCGATGGAGCTTTGAGGGGAAGCCAAGGAACAGAGAGCAAGTCCTCCCCTCACTGAGCTCAGGCTTCAGGGCACCCAGACTCACAAGAGCTCTGCACTCGCACACATGTACAAGTCACACGCCCCCAGGACTCTCCATCCCCAGCTCCACGCCCACCACACCAGCACCCCACATTGACAACCTACTGGACTTTGTTCCCGCTCTCAGCAAAGAGGGTTTGACTCAGGCTGCTGGTTTGGCCCAGTGGGATGAAGCCGATGGGGATCTTACTGAAGGTGGCCTGCGGGATGGAAAGAAATTGTTTGGCTCTTCTCAGAAGATCAGGCAGAGACGTGTTCGCTGGGACAAAGGCAACCACCCAGGCAGCCTCCCCGATCCCAGCCCAGGGATCAGGTGACTCCGGCACACTGAGCGCTCAGTTCCCAAAAGAAGGCAGGCGGGGAAATCAACCCTGCCCCAACTTCCGGAGAAATCGTGGGGTGCCATCCATGGCGGTGCACTGTAGAGAAATTTGATTAGGAAAGAGAAGGTCTTAATGATTTATTAAATGAGGGTCTTAATGAGAGTCTTAATGATATAAAATGAGGGTCTTAATCGCATCAGGAAAATGATATTCTTAACAATAAGTGAACTCCCGGGACGGGAACTGCATCATATTGTCACGCTATCTGAAAAAGTGGTGGAGAAAATTCAACAGAAAGGGCCTAACACCCAATGCGTTAGTCCAATGGCTGGTGAGAGGCATAGCAGAAGACTTAATTAACTGCCACAAGCAAGCAGAGGTGGGGTGAGCAATTCTCAGAATGAAGCAGGCCGGGAAATCACCCACGCTCCGACGTCCACATTCTCCCCAACGATGACGAGGATGAGCACGCATCTCCCAGCACAAAAGGGATGACAGTGCAGCTTCCTTCTTGTGCTATCCAATGTACTGTATTTCACTTGACATCATGTCACACAGAATGCTGCTCATATACATGTAACATTTATAAATGCATTCTGTTTATTTTTATAAAATAAAATGGTATTTCTTAAGCATAAGACTAGTATCGAAAAGGCATATAAAATAATGTCACAAATACCATCAAGACCCAGGCGTAACAAATGTTACAATTTGGATGCCAGCATCAGCTGTCTTGAGAAACGAACCATGCAGACAGGACGGAAGTGCTGCGCACTGTTCCTATGGAAACGACCCCCTGCGGCTGGGTGCCTCCATCCCAGCCACCTTAGGGTTCCTGAACAATGTCCTCCAGGCATCCACTGACAGCACATTTGTTTTCAAAATTTTAAAACTTCAGTTCAAATGCATAACAATTTGGCAGCCTGATTTTTTTGGGTACTGCTAATTTTTTTTAAATGGGGATCAAATATATCTACTCACACACCTGTGCACTGTGCTGAATTGATGGTGTATTTCAGAATTGCATGTATGTTTCAAGTGTGTGTCACTGATAATGGATGCAGCGACCACCATAGTGTTAAATATGTTCTAGATTTAAGCCATGCGGTTATTAATAACCTGAGCTCACTCGCTTGGATTGCTGAATGGTTTCCAGTGTATAAATATGCCACGATCTATTTAGGGAGAAGTTCTTCGAAGCTTTCTATCGGATATTCTTCTGTCTAAGCACCCCAGGCGCCGAGAGGAAGTCCTGGCTCGGGGAAGTGTCTGTGACACGAACAGCCGCTAGTTCATCCCCTGTCACCCACAGCACCACCCAGACCCCATCACAGGCGGCCCAAGGGTGAAAGGGTGAGTCAGAGACACAGGAGGGAAAAGCAAGCGCTGACGGCGATCATAAAGACTTTCACGAAGGCTCACCTCATCCGCTCGTCGGAGAAGCCCAGTAATGACCTGCAACGGTGAAAGAAAATGTTACAAGATCATGAACAAAAGTGCTGTCATCGTCCTAGAGCTCGACTCAGTTTCCACAGCTTCCAACCTGCCCGTTTTCTACCTACACATGAAAAGATGCACAGGGAGACGGTTCTGGGCTGCACCTGACCTGGATTCCATTCCCGGCACCATCTGGCCCCTGAGTGCCACTGGGTCTACCCCCACCCCCTCTCCGCCAGTTCCAGTGTGGTCCTGGTGGTCCCTGGCACCACTGGGGCCTGAGCATCACTGCCTTCTCAGGCCCTCACATTGAGTCACCAGACTGGTTTGGCCGGGAATGACCCCACAGTCCCTCCTCACACCCCGATTCCCCAAAGCAGTGCTTGGGAGGTGTCCCCCAACTCCAGCCCCGCCAAAAAGTCTGTACTTACTTGAAACACAGTACTCTCAAATAGGATCAGAGCTCAGTTGTATTACTTCTCTGTCTCCTTTTTTGAGCCATGCTCAGCCGTGCTCAGGGATCACTCCTGGCAGGGCTCGGGAACCACATGCAGGGCTGGGATTGAACCCGGCTGGCCGAATGCATGGCAAGCATCCTCTCTGCTCTATTCTATTTCAGCCCCTTGATTTTATTCTTGACTTAGGACCACAATTCAATTGACTATAAAATAAATCACACAAAGCAATCCAGTTTACTAGAAAAAAGTAGGCATGCAGGAAAACAACACATTGCCTCACTCTTAAGTCTGTTCACAATAAACATTTCTTACTGATGAATACAAAATCAAGGGGAACAGAAGCCCCGCAGTTAAAAATATATTGTGGGGGAGAGGGAACCGGGCCGCACGGGTAGTACTCAGGGTAGTACTCCTGGCTCTGCGTGCAGGGGTCACTCTTGCAGGGCTCAGGGACAGTACATGGTGCTGGGGATCAAACTTGGCCTGTTGAATGCAAGGCGGGTGCCTCACCCGTTCTTTCTAGCCCCCAAAAGATATTTTAACTAGGCTCCTTTACATAAATTATTCTTGTTTAAAAATTTAATATGTATCTTGTAAAAAGTGAAAAATATCTGAACAAAACCCTCTTTGTCATAATCCCTCCATGCTGGATAATCATCATTGTTTCTGCCTGGGGGCTGGGGCAAGGGCCCTCAGTCCCCGTCTATCTGTGCATGTCCACACACGTATCCGGGTGACAGGGATGAAACGAAACATAAAATCTGTCTTTCGGGCTGGAGCAATAGCACACGGGTAGGGCATTTGCCTTGCACGCGGGCGACCCAGGTTCGATTCCCAGCATCCCATATCGAGCACCACCATGGGTTAATTCCTGAGCGCAGAGCCAGGAGTCACCCCTGTGCATCGTTGCCAGGTGTGACCCAAAAAGCAAAAAAAAAAAAAAAATCTGTGTCTTTCTTAAAAAGGTCCTGCCATGGAGGCAGGCTGGAGGGTGGGAGGGAACCCGGCAGGGATCATCGGTGGCAGGGAGCCGACGCTGGTGGGGGACTGGTGTGGGAACACTGGACGCCTGGAACTTTATTCTGGACACCTTTGGAAATCATGGTGCCGAGATTCAAAATTTTACATGAAAAGCAGGACATGCTGGCAAGCAAAGGCTGTCCCTAATCTCCCTTGCCTCCTCCACCTTGCTGGGTGTTGGGATTCAGCTGGGCTGGCATGCTCTCAGGATTCCACATACTTCATTAGGACGCCGTCTGAAACAATCCCAAGATAGGCGCCTGCAGGGTGCAGACGCAGCTCACAAAGGCTCCCATAACTGCTGCGGCACATCTGGACCATGCCACACGGCCGGCCTCTCCGCATGCCAACGGAACTGCAAGACGTGGCAAAAGGCCCACAGAAAGGAGGTGCGGGTCGCAGGATGGAGCGGGTGGGAAGCCCATCAGGGGCCTGCAAGGTCTAGGCTAGGATGACAGTTGACGTCTGTTCTAGCGGGGACACTCACTTCTGCCACTGGACCCAAGTCATCCGTAAGGGGACAGAGTTTTATAGTGAAGGCAGATGTGCGCATCTGGACAGTGCCACCCGGAAACTTGGGTTTGCTGAGACTTCCTAACTAAAGGATCCTGGCCGAGCTAGACCTTCCAAAGACAAAACCACACCCACCACCACTTGGTCTCCAAGTGGATCCAACGTCAAGTGAAAAAAAGGAAAGAAAAGAAGGTCTCTTCTTAGGTGTGGGGCTTCACAGAGCAATGCAGTGAAAGTGCAGGAGGAGAACAGAGCGCCCGCCCGGCCACAGAGACCAGCCCAGGGCAGGCTGAGCAGGAAGTCAGTCCCTGCCATCGTGGCCACCGTGGGTTCCAGGACTCGGTCTCCCTTTGCCACCGTGGCAGAAAGATGGCCATACCTCCTGCAGGGTCCCGTCACCTCCCGCGACGATGATCATGTCTGTGCTCTCCATCAGTTCCAGAAGCTTCTTGGCTTGGCCCTCATAATCTGTCTGGAACACAAAAGGAACCTTAGGCAAATGCATCACCTCAGAGGCTGGAGGGTTAGAAGTGCAGGACCTTTTCCTTAAATCTGACCCTGAGTCTTTCCAGCAGTTCCACAAGACTGACAGACACAGAGAACTACACGGCCGCCAAAGCAATTATGCATCGTTTATATGAATCCAGACTTATGTAATCAAAAAGCACCAGGGAGACCAGTGAATGAGCATCTTCCTTTAAAAGGAAGAGCCAAAGGGTTGGAGAGATAGAACGGGGATTAACACAGCCGTACAAACATGGCAGTCACAGCTTTTACCCAACTCGCCCAACACACACCCCTCTGTGGACACTAACACACTGAGCCCAGAGGCCGAATCAGAGAGCTAGCTCCACGTGCTGATGCAGGCTGTGCATGCAGGTGGTCTGGGTTCCATCCCCAGGACCGCGTGAGGCCCTGAGCATCGACAGGAGTGACCCCTGGCCTCAGAGATGGATGCAGTGCTTGAACACCACCAGGAGGGGCCTCAAGGCACAATGAAGCAAAAAAGACACCAATACTATCTTTAGGCATGTTCCAAAACAGCACGATTCCATCTTAGTTTGGGTCCTCTTTCTCTTCCCTCCCCAAACCTCCCAAAGTCTGAAGTTTAACCGTTTGAAACTCCTACCAGATAGGGCTGGAGCGATAGCACAGCAGGTAGGGCATTTGCCTTGCACGCAGCCGACCCGGGTTCAATTCCCAGCACCCCATATGGTCCCCCGAGCACGGCCAGGAGTAATTCCTGAGTGCATGAGCCAGGAGTAACCCCTGTGCATCGCTGGGTATGACCCAAAAAGCAAAAAAGTAAAATTAAATAAAAATAAATAAATAAAACTCCTGCCAGAGGGGCTGGAGAGATAGCCCAGGGGGTAGGGTGTTTGCCTTGCCTGCAGCCAACTCTGGTTCGATCCCTGGTGTTCCATATGGTTCCCTGAGCTCCACCAGGAGTGATTTCTGAGTGCAGAGCCAGGGAGTAACCCCGGAGCACTGCTGGGTGTGACCCAATAAATAAATAAATAAATAAATAATAAAATTCCTTACCAGGGAGAAAATTTCAAATGGTATGTGAACTGCCATGAAATTGGTTCCTCATACTTTCGCTTTAGAAAAACAACTATTGTTGTTGTTGTTGGTGGTGGTTTTCTTGGCCACCTGATGGTGCTCGGGGCTCACTCCTGGCTCTGCACTCAGAATCTCTCCTGACCGACGTTGGGGGACCATTTGGGGTGCCGGGGATTGAACCTGGGTCACTGCGTGAAAGGCAAGTGTCCTACCCACTGTACTATCTCCCCGGCCCTCAGGAAAAGAGTTCTCCATAGTACTAACGAGCTATTCCAGAAGCCCAGACTCTCACGTGTCTAACGAAAGGAAACAAAGGCAGCCTCCCACAACTGCTCTTCTGGGTGCTGAGGGCCCCAGCCCCCTCCCCCCCCCCAATGTGCTCGCGTTCCTCTCCTCACTGGGGAGACCTTTGCTGGGGGGGAGGTTCGGGGTCTGCTCGGCAGGTCGGAGCGGCACTGAGCAAGCCCCAGGCCAGGCCCTGCTCACCTTGACGACGGTCACATCCATGCCGGAGAGGTGCAAAATTGGGGCGGCATTTTTCTCAAACAGGGACCTGGCTTTGCTGGAGACAGAGGGAAAAATACAAATATCTTGGCATGAGTCGAGGTTCAACCACCTTCTCTAGACCCAGTCAATAAACAGACTACAGAATGACTACTCCCCCACCCCCCCACCCCCCACCCACACACACCTTTTAAACCAGGGTCTAGAGCGAACTGCAGCTGCTCTTATTTTATTTGAGGACTCTGGGTTTACTCCTGGCTCTATACTCAGGGATCACTCCTGCAGTACTTGGGGGACCATATGGGGTACTGGGAATTGAACCCAGGTGGGCCTTGTGCGAAACAAGCGCCCTACCCACAGCGCTCTCTCTCTGGCCTGCAACACCCACTTCATTTATACAAGTACAGGAAGCTGGCTGGAGCTATAGCACAACGGGTAGGGTGTTTGCCTTACATGCGGCCGACCCGTGTTCGATTCCTCTGTCCCTCTCGGAGAGCCCGGCAAGCTACCGAGAGTATCCCGCCTGCACGGCAGAGCCTGGCAAGCTCTCTGTGGCATCTTCCATATGCCAAAAACAGTAACAACAAGTCTCACAGTGAGACATGACTGGTGTCCGCTCGAGCAAATCGATGAACAAGAGAGGACAGTGCTACAGTGCTACAGGAAGTTGGGTGAGAAATGAGTTTCCACAGGCTGGGTGATGCCACCATCTCCAGTTTGCCTCACTGCAGGGCAGGGGGAAGGGAAGAGAAGGGGGCATCTCTGAACCGGGGCTTTTACAGTACAGACCACCAGCAAAGTGGCAAATCAACGGCTGGCAAAGGGGGTGGGGAGGAGAGAGAGAGAGAAAGAGAGGGGTGGAGAAAGGGAGAGAGAGGGAAAGGGAAAGGAAGAGACAGGAAGAGAGAGGGAGAGAGAGAGGGAAAGAGGAAGGGAGGGGGGATACGGAAAGAGAAAGGGAGGAGAGAAAGAGAGAGAGGGAGACAGAGAGGGAGACAGAGGGAGAGAGGGAGAGAAGAAGGGAGAGAGGGAGAGATGGAGAGGGAGAGAGGGAGAAAAAGAGGGAGAGTAAGAGGGAAAGAGGAAGAAAGGGAGAGAGAGAACAAGAGACGGGGAGAGAAAGAGAGGGAGGAAGGGAAGAAGAAGGGGGAGGGAGAGAGCGCGCACGCCCTCTTCTGTTGGAGGGGTGACTCTGAGCAGAAAACCACTAACCCTCTGGTCCACAGACCCCGTTCCAGCGTAAGTGCTCAGGACTTCCATCTGCATCCAAGCCGCAGCCACTGGTGCTTTGCAGGAGGCAGGGGAGGCCGGTGGGCTGGTCTTTCTGAAGTCACCAACCTCCCCTGTGCACCAGCCACCCCATAGGTGCCACTAGCGCATCAGAAGCCAGTCAAGAGTAAGCCCGCGGCTGGGTGGGCAGTAAGATCAGCAAGGCCTCTTGTTGGGGCCAAAGGTCGCGTCCCTTTCCCCCAGGGATGGGGCGGGACAAGAGGTGCCTAAGTGGATGATTGCAAGGGGGAAAGCAAGGGCCCAGGGCCAGCATCGCAGGCTCCCACTCCCCAGGACTGTCCAAATGCAGGAACGCAAAGCACCGAGGTGGCTGACAATGTTTCTCCCAGCAATAGACTTTATAACAATTATTACTAAACCCATTCATTTACCAAACCATCCTCCCCCCCAATAAATAAATAATAAATAAACAGAAAGACAATCTCCTGCTCTGGGGTCTGTGTGCTCCCCTTCATGTGACATCACATCTCCTTGGGAGACTCGGAGCTCACAGTCTAGCTCCTGGGGAGGAAGGTTCACCAGACAGAGCCCCGCTCTGGCAGCAACAGGCCAGTCACCACGTGTTTACTGAGCACCTACTAAGTCCTAGAAATCAGCCCAGGAGCAGGAAATACAGGCGGAAATATACCTGAAACAGACACACATGCAACAAGAGCACTTATCTAGAGTTCAGCGACCGAAAGAGTGGTGGGTGGTCCAGAGTATAGAACGAACCACACAGACTGCTTAATTCCGACTCAGCAGACACGATCTTGGGGGAGACATATGCACATCTGGAGGGCATGCCAGGGGTAAATGCCCATCTTTGAACTTAGGACCTCATACATGCTTGCATGATTTTTAAGGATTTCAGAAGCTAGGGCATCTCCAGTTCCTGCATTTTAAACTTACAATGAAACTCCTGGAGGAAAAAAAATAATAATAAAGCAAAGTTCTTTTTCACAAAGGCTTACATTTCTGCTAGGAAAGGGAAAATAATCTAATATGACTCTAGGATAATCCACAGTTTTCACAAGACCCTGGGGTGCGCCTGCACTGTTAGAGCATTTGCTCTGCATGAGTGAATGTCTGCAAAAATGGACACCCAAATATTGTTTTCTTTGGAAGGGGGAGCTGTCCCCAGTTGGCCTGGGGGGCCCCCCACCAGTGAATCTGAGCCAAATAGACCGGTGGTTCAATGCAAGGCCTGAAGATGTGGGTCTGCTGAGATGCTCCAGGCCACCTCATTGTGTCCGGGGGGGGGGGGGGGGGGTTGGGGGGGGGGCATATGGTACCAGAGACCAGGCCCAGGTCCAGGTCCAACACATGCTTAGGATACTCCCAAACTGCTGTACCGTCTCCCAGCTCCCCCAGTTCCTTTTAATCCTAGAATCCCGGGTCTCCAGGGTAATGTCTGACACACACAAAGGTACTTCAGCATATTTAGGCCCATACTGGAACATCGCATGAGTCCAAATCAGGTACCACATGGTCCCCCGAGCACCATCAGGGGTCACCTCCAAGCACCCACTCCAGATTAGTCCCCTGAGCATGGCCAGGTATAGCCCACCACCACCAGAAAAGGAAGAGAGAAGGAAAGACAGTGCTTAAGGATTAATTCAGATGAATTCATTCTCAAGTGAAAAATTAATGACATGGGACTTCGGAGGAGAAGGACATGGCCCAGGGGGGAATATCCAGTGCAGTTCACCGGCCCTTGGGGAAGTCAGCAGATTCATCTTAAAAGCATCAGATACATTCTGATCAGGACTCTGATCCAATTTACCTCTGGAGGCCAAAGCCATAGCAAAGGAACCAAGGGGTGCAGACGGAGGCTGCAAAAAAGGAACTAGGCACCCCCTCCCCCGCACCCCCACCAGTGGCAGAGAACTGAGACACGCCAGCTGATTTGTCTTCTACCCACATATTCCAACTGTCACCCCAGACAGACCAGGAAGAACAAAAACGATGCCACCCAGAACTGTCTATGCCAATCATCTTCCACAGCTATGCAGCCCTCCTCCTAAGGGAGGGGCTTTTGTATGCCAGGGAGTCTGGCACTGTATCCTCCAGGGGAGACTGAGGCAGATGTGGAACTGCCGCGGGGGGCCTCGGTAACCCTAGGAGGCGGAAGAGACACCCAGGGAGGTAATGAGGAGCACAGTCTGACACAGAGCAGATGCAATGTTCGTAACCACAACGGACCGCCACACCGCAAGAACCCCCTCCTCTCACAAATTAAAACGGTACCTGAGACGCACGGAAACTTTCCCACGGACCCCGGAAGAAGGTGAGCACCCCAGGGTCCCCCAGGGCACAGAAGAGGGAGATGGGAGCCCTCCTCCGGCCTCTGCTCTGCTGCTGAGCACAATGGCAGGAACCCTCACGCCCCTTCCCAGCTCAGCCCAACACTGCTGTGGCATCCTGCTCAGCGCCTAGGTCGGTGGGTCAGGCGGGCAGGAAGGGGCCTGCATCCATCCAGGGAAGGCCGCGGCTGCATCAGCCGCCTCCATCTGTGCTCTGACTCACTGGCAGCGAATTGACGGGCACCTGACATTATCCAGGAAGGAAGATTTGGGCCCGGAGTGGCGCCACCGCACAGCCCTGGCCTCTTGGGGGGCGAGGTGACAAGCCCCAGATGGGCACTTGTCCCCCCAGCACCGAGGGACATCCTGACACCGCAGGGATGGTGGGCCCCAGGGGAGACCTCACTCAGTGTGTGAGCCCCACCAGCCTGGCGCTGAGACTGTCCCACAGGGGAAGGATAACGAACATGTGGATGTCGAGACCTTCCCCACCCCTGCGCGGGCTGCCATGGGGGGTGAGGGGCGGGAAATCTCTGAAAGGGAAGCAAGGACGATAGTCCCTCCTGGGTGCCATCCACAAAAGATGGAGAGCAGGAGCGACCCATAAGAAGTGTGTTATTCACCCGGGAATTAGGGGCGAGAGAGAACCTGCGCGAAATTAAAGCCACGCATACTCGCAGCAATCTCCAGCTTCTCACACGCGCGCACAAAATAATTACTCTTTAGCGTATTATTTATTAATGCTAAACAGTTATTTATTAAAGCTCTTATGTAATTTTAAGCCAGTACTACATAATTAAATAGCTACCAGATAAATTATGAATTATGTGTCAGGGCAGAGCCAAGATGACAAAAATAATGCAATTAATTAAATGGTGAGAGAATACTTTCAGGAAGGATGCTGGGAAGTTTCGGGGGGTGGGGGTGGGGGGCTCCTTTCTAGAAGCGAGCATGAGGTCTGCCTTGTTAAAGTGGGGTGATGACTTCAGCAAAGATGCTTTTTCGCTGCAATCTTAGAGTAAGAATTAACCTGTGTCAGGATGACCCCTGCTCCATCCGGGCACTGCTGGGCCCCCTCAAGCAGTGTGACAGCCCAGCGGGAAAGGCGCCTGCCTTGCATGCAGCCAATTCGGGTTCCATTTCTGGCATCCCATATAGTCCCCAAGCACCACCAGGAGTAATTCCTGAGTGCAGAGCCAGGGGTAACCCCTGAGCATTGCCAGGTGGGCCCCAAAACCAAGCAAAACAAACCAACCAAGAACATCCACCTATTAAAATGCCATTATATTAGAAAAGATGAAGTCATGAAATTGACATACAAGTGGTACTACATGGAAAGTATCCTGTTAAGTGAAATGAGTCAGAAAGAGAGGGACAGACATAGAAAGATTGTGTTCATCTGGGGAACATAAAGTAACAAAATAGGCGCAAGAATAGCCAAGATAAGTATCAGGAGGTTCACTCCATGGCTTGGAGGCCAGCCACACATGCTAGGGGAAAAGGCAGCTCAGATAGAGAAGGGAGCACCCAATAAAGGGTGTTGGGAGGATCCTTCCAGGATAGGAGTAGACTATAGAGTGAACATGATTGCCACTCAATGCCTCTTTTGCAAACCACAACACCCAAAAGGAGAGAGAGAACAAAAGGGAAAAACCCCGTCACAGAGGTAGGGTGGGACTGGGGGGGGGGCAGTGGGAGGGATACTGGGATCATTGTTGGTAGAGAATGGGCACTGGTGGAGGGATGGGTATTCGATCATTGTATAACTTAAACCCAAGCACAAAAATTTGTAAGTCTACAACTGTACCTCATGGTGTTTCACTAATAAAAATTTTTTTAAAAAATGTTTAAAAATAAAAAGAAATAAAATGCCATTATACTTAAATATGAAATGTAAATAGATCCTAAAACTAAAGTGTAAATAATTATAAGGGGCCAGAGAGACTGTACAAGGGTTACGGCACTTGTTTTGCACACGGCCAACCCCAAAGCCCACCAGAAGCAACCACTGAGCACAGAGTTAGGAGCACCCCCTGCATGCCTGCTTGGTATGGTCTTCACACAAACACGAAGCACACAGAGAAAACACTATGGAAAGGAAGAATTCGGCATGGCAATTCCGAGCTTCAAAACCCATCACCCTATGTCTCTTTGTCAGAGTGAGCAAGTCCCTACATCAGCAGCTCCCTAGGTCCGTGGAGGAGCAGGGCTGCAGGGAGGGTCGAGCAGAGAAGGCTTTGGCTCTCATCTTCCGGTCAGCCGCTGACCCGGCTTTTTGAAAATGCTTACAGTCAACACCAGAACATGTGTCATTCGGCGCCCTGGGTGGGGTGTCACACACATCACAAAGGTCCTTATTCCTTACGCGATTTTAGAGGATCAAGCCATTCCTCTTCCCCTTTTGCAGAGGAGTAAACTGAGGTTTGAGGAAATGCCCCCCATAGCATCACACAGCAGCCGGACCAAGCCCAGACCGGCCTCAGACTTCCCAACCAGCAGTACCGATGGGCATCCTGACGCATTGTGAGAGCACGTAGTCAGTGGGCGTGATGAACACTGTGCCAGGAGAGAGGAGAATGGCGAGGGGGTGATCCACCGGGCAGCCCCAGAAACGAACGCAGATGTTGGTTGGTCCATGCCCAGCTCACACCTAAGTGCGCCAACAAGTCTTTGGAAACTGTTGTAACGTGGATGAGGCCAGGGCGAGCCCCAGGCCCTGCCGGAGGAGGCAGGTATGGAAGAGTTGGTGGTCGCTTTCAGCACCAGCTGGTGATAACTGCGCCCTCCTCGGGCGACAGTGACAGTGATTTATTTATTTATTTATGTATTTTATTTTGTTTTTATTTTTGCTTATGGTATCACTGAATCACTGTCCTCCTGTTGTTCATCGATTTGCTTGAGCGGGCCCAGTAACATCTCCATTGTGAGAATTGTTGTTACTGTGTTTGGCATATCGAATATGTCACGGGGAGCTTGCCAGGCTTTGCCCTGCGGGGGAGATACTCTCGGTAGCTTGCCAGACTTTCCAAGAGGGGTGGAGGAATCAAACCCGGCTCAGCCGGGCTGGTTGCGCGCAAGGCAAACGCCCTACCGCTGTGCTAAAGCTCCTTTCGAAAATTTTAATAAACTAGAGCATTCTTTAAATATTCACAGTAAAACTGAGTAGGAAGGACTGAGGGTCCTAATATTCCTTCCCTGGTCCCATCCGCGCACACCCACCCTCCCGCATTCCTCATCCTTCCCCACCGAGGACGGCTGTTGTGCTATAGGACCATGGACAGGTCATTTTTTTGACCAAAGTCCAACTGCTTTCCATGCCTCCAGCCCCCTGCCTGGTCATCCCTTCCCATGGGCACTCCCTGCCAACAGGGCCAGGGCCTATTACACTCACCGTAAAGGGACAGGGTCAAGAGGAGGTGCCTGGGGGGCGGGGGGGCCCTTGCCCTGGGTCACACCCCTGGGCGCGGGGGGCGCGAGTGTGCTTCCCAAGCTCACAGGGCACCTCTTCAGGAAGGAATGGTCCCGACACCCCAGTCCCCAGCACGCTCGGCCATGTAGAATCCTGAGACTGCAACCGCCTCCTAGATCGCCAGCCAGCAGCTGGAGCAAAGCCACTCCCGAGGCCACCCTGCCACGGAGGCTGCCGCCAAGCAGAGGCAACTCGCTGAAGAGTTCTGGAATGACTGTTCAGCCCAGTTAGACTCAGTCAGCTTAAGAGCTCTGTCTCAGGGCAGGGGAGAGAGCACAGTGGGGAGGGTACCTGCCTTGCCCACAGCTGAATCGACAGCTAACCCGGGTTCCATCCCCAGCATCCCATATAGCCCCTGAGCCTTGTAGGAGTGATCCCTGGACCAGGGCCAGAAGTAAACAGTAAACCCTGGCTGTGCACTACCAGGAGTGTGTGTGTGTGTGTGTGTGTGTGTGCATGTGTGTGTGTGAGAGAGAGAGAGTGAGAGTGTGTGTATCTATGTGTGTGAGTGTGTGAGAAAGAGAGTGTGTGTCTGTGTGTGCGTATGAGAGGGAGTGCATGTAAGAAAAGGAATTGTATGTGAGAGAGAGAGAAGGGAGAGTGTATGTGTGAGAGAGAGAAGGGAGAGAGTATGTGTGTGAGAGAGAGAGAGTGAGAGAGAGAGAGTGGGTGTGTATCTGTCTATGTGTGTGAGTGTGTGAGAGAGTATGTGTCTGTGTGTGTAAGAAAGAGAATTGTGTGAGATAGGGAAGGCAATACTTTCTGGGCTGCCAAGGGATTCTGTCTCCCTGGCTGAGAACTACTGTGCGTGTGTGTGTGTGTGTGTGTGTGAGAAAGAGAGAGAGAGAGTGGGTGTGTATCTGTGTGTCTGTGTGTGCGTGTGAAAGGGAGTGTGTGTAAGAAAGAGAATTGTGTGTGAGAGAGAGAAGGGAGAGAGTATGTGTGTGTGAGAGAGAGAGTGTGTGTTTGTGTGTGTGTGAAAGGGAGTGTGTGTAAGAAAAGGAATTGTGAGATAGAGAAGGGAGAGAGTATGTTTGTGTGTGAGTGTGTGTGTGTGTGTGAGAGAGAGAGAGAGAGAGAGAGAGAGATAGAGAGAGAGAGAGAGAGAAAGAGCTCACTAGTTTTGCCTCACTATACTTTCTGGGCTGGCAAGGGATTCTGTCTCCCTGACTGAGAACTACTCTGTGTGTGTGTATGTGTGTGTGTGTGTGTGTGTGTGTGTGTGTGTGTGTGAGTGTGTGCGCGCGCGCACTGTGTGAGATGTGAGTTGTGTCTCACTAACTGTTCTTCTGGGGCCGCCAGGGCATCTTGTCTCTAGGGGGGACTGGCCGTAGTGCTTCCAGTTCCCACAGTCCCACCAGCTGCCTGAGGTCCCGACCTTTCCCTCCCTTGGAAGCCAGGCCCCGAAGCTGTCAGATGGAGCTTACCCTTTGCAAGCTGCAGGGTTGAGAAAGACGGTGGCTTTCTTCACTTGTGCATTGGGAGGAATGAGCTGGTTGCCAAACACCTGAAAGAGAGGCAAGAAAAGTTTCCATTAAGGTCCGTTTATTCCATTAGTGATGACATATATTCATATGTTCTGGGAAAAAAATTACTTCTAGCAAAAAATGGTATCTACTCTGGGAACAAAAATAAAAAAGTCTCTCATGATTTCATATTGATTAAAAATACCCAAAATTCACAGGCCATTAATGATAACAAGCTGGATTTTGTACTGTAATAATTTAAGAAAACCTGATTCAAGTACTGAAATAATTTTCTTTTCTCTATGAGATACATGACTAGTAAAGCCATAGTCTGTCAGAAAGAAAGTTTAAATCCATTTGTCTTTGAATTTCGGAGTATAATCTCTTTCTCCATCTTATTACCAAAGCTTATCTTTGTGTTACCAATAAATCCTCACACCTCTATACTTATGAAAATAGTAACGGGGCTGAAGCGAGCAGAGGCTGGAGCACATGCCTTGCTGGCAGGCCTGGCTTTGACCCCTGGCACCACGGGCTTCCAAAATACCACATCATCCCCAGGAGGCCTGGGTCTGACCCCCGTGGGCTCTCAAACTTCTTTTTTATTTATTTTTTGGGGGGGTCACACCCGGTGCTGCACAGGGGTTACTCCTGGCTTATGCACTCAGGAATTATTCCTGGTGGTGCTCAGGGGACCATATGGGATGCTGGGAATCGAACCCGGGTCGGCCACACGTAAGGCAAACGCCCTACCTGCTGTGCTATCACTCCAGCCCTCTTAAAGTTCTAAGAACTGGAAATATAGGACAGATGGAAGCGCTGCTTCCAACAAGAGAGGGCCAGCCCAGTGACTGTGACTTTTTTTTATTTGTTCTTGGTCACACCCAGTGATGCTCAGGGGTTACTCGTAGCTCTGCACTGAGGAATCATTCCTGGACTTGCTCCAGGTACCCTATGGGTTGCTGGGGATTGAACCCGGGTTGGCTGTTTGCAAGGCAAGCGCCCTCCCCGCTGTGCTATCGCTCCAGCCCACTGCGACTTCTGAGAGGAGGGAGAAAAGGCTCCTTCCCCACAGGAGTCTGCAGTTACTGCTGGAAAACTGGGCTGGAGCCAGATTCACCTTGAAATGAGCACGAATATTTCTTTGAAATGAACTTCCCAAACCATTTAGAGCCACCTACAAAGGCAAGTTCTCAAAACACAGAGTTGGAGCTGTTGCACGCTAAGGAGGGGGGGGTCTATTCACAGTATCTGTTGCCAGTTGGCAGGGGGTCCCCCAGGGCTGGCTCTGTGCTCCCTGAGCCTGCGGCTCTCCTCGGGCACCCCTCGCCCCTGCAGCTCACTGGGATCCTCGAGGGGAGACGGCTCGACCACAGGTATATCTGCCAGGCAAGACTGCAAATGTGGAGGTAAGAGCCACGGATGCCCTTCAGCCCACAGGCCCGGAAAGGTGACTGACCGAGGCGGGCAGGGCCAGGACGGGGTGGGCACAAAAGCCCGGGTCCAGGTGGAGGGAGTTGGACTCCCACGCATGGTGCCTGCTCTGGACAGACAGTCTGAAGAGCAGAGTCAGGGCCGAGTCTGATGGCTGGGGACAAAGTGCAAGCAAGACCGGACTCCCAGTCTGTGCTCCCGTCCAGGCCTTGGTTCCCGGGCTGACTCAGAAGTGAACAGGTCTAACGGGGAGTGGACGGGGGGAGCAGCCTCCCACTGGCAATTTCACTTCCTCACATTCCATTCCGAGTGAGCTCTCGGCCTGATTCATCCCCAAATCACTGTCACTGTCACTGTCCTCTCGTTCTTCATCGATTTGCTCGAGAGAGCGCAGTAACATTGTGAGACTTGTTACTGTGTTTGGCAGATCAAATACGTTACGGGTAGCTTGCCAGTGGGGGGAAATTTCTAAAAAAAAAAAAACAACCCAGTGCCAGGTGTGTGCCAGATAGCCTTTGCCATGGAGATAAAGCAGGTTTCGGGTTCATACCTGAGCTTCCTGGCAGGCCGCTCTCCTCAGCAGGTTATCACTAGAAAGGAAACAGAGAGAGGAACATCAGCTTCCCCAGCAAGGTCAAGCCCACAGAGACAGAATGATGCATCTTTTAAACTGTGCCACTCGTCCCTATAAAATGCCCCATAGAACGTTTCTTGAGAACATGAAACAAATCAGGGGCACATCTGAAAACTGATTCTGAGTGACACCCCGTGTCAGGATTTCTGTATTACGGGAGGCAATGGACTGTCCTCTCTGCTAGATGTCGATGTCCTAATAAGCCTCAGACCTCGGATACGTTATGTTTTTGGCCAAAATTAATCGGTCACTGTCACTGTCCTCCCATTGTTCATCGATTTGCTCGAGCGGGCCCAGTAACGTCTCCATTGTGAGACTTGTTGTTACTGTGTTTGGCATATCGAATATGCCACAGGGAGCTTGTCAGGCTCTGCTGTGCAGGCAAGAAACTCTCGGTCGCTTGCCAGGCTCTCCGAGAGGGACGGAGGAATTGAACCTGGGTCGGCTGCGTGCAAGGCAAACACCCTACCCACAGGGCTATCATTCCAGCCCAAATTTTGGTCAAAATTAATAATAATAATAATTAGACTGTCACGGTGAGGCTTAGGATCACAGGAGGGCGTGAGTCTGGATTCCTCGGGTGGGCTTGATACAATTACAAGGGTCCTGACTAGAGCTTTTCAGGCTGCAGGCCGGCGTGAGAGTACAGTGAGAAGGGTGTTTACCTTGTATGCACCAACTGGGGTTCAATCCCTGGCATCCCATATGGGCCCCTGAGCTCGCCAGGGATAGGAGTAAGCCCTGAGCACCACTGGGTGTGGCCAAAACTTTTCAGGCTATGATCTACCTCAGGTGTGACCATTTACAAACTGGGGGGTGAAGTTTGAGGGCCCGGGTGAAAACAATCAAATGGAGGGTAATGGTTGGTTGGTAACAGACTTTTGGAATAGTGTAGCATATACATGATGGGTACATACATCTATACACCAAGGTCTCCAGTTATAAGAGAAATGAAAAGCACCTAGGAAAGATGCAGGATGGTTGGTCCTGAAGAGAGGAGAAGGTGGCTGGTCAGGTGTAAAATTCTTTAGGGGCGGCCAGGGGGGCCCCTCAACAGCTCTTCCCCTAGCTGCCCACGTTCAGAGTCGGGCCACTCCCCCTGCCAGGACGGTCCAGGGCCATGGGGCAGACGGTGGAGGAAATGAGGGCCAAGCCAGTTGATTGATCAGATGGCTTTTATTCCATTCTCCCCACGCGCCTGCCCCAGTCTCTCTGAACCTCCCATTCTAGTCTCACTCTCCCCTCATTCCCGTCTCCTCCTGTCTCTCCCGCTCATCTCTCTGCACTCCATCTCACAGCCTGGGCACTCTCTCTCTCTCTCTCTCTCTCTCTCTCTCCACGTGCCTGCTCCTGTATTCTTCTTCTACATTCTTCTCTCTCTGTTCCCCTTCCTCTACATGGTCCATCTTGCTACCCTGCTCTCTCTCCTCGCTCTCTTTCCAGCTCCTCAGCACTCTGGGCTGGCACTGCACCCAGTCTGGTAGCCAAATCAACATAAGAAAGTCCTTCCTGAGGGTCCACCAAGTTCAAAGGGAACACCACCTAAAAGGTATTCCAAAGCCCTTCCTGACTGCCCAAGGCTAAATAACTCCTAAGGTGTTTTTCTCCTTTCCTTAGTCCAATAACTCTTTCAACATCTTAATATTAGTTATTTTTGTATGGACACAGTAAAAGATACATTGAGGCTTGTAGGGCAGCTCTCCTGGGAACATCTTGCCACAGAATCAAGACTACAGAGCTCAGGCCAGATTAATCTTTCCTAACCCTAGCAGGGTCCGAATCTAGTTATTACTTTTTGGATCATGACAGCATTTGTCCATGATCAAGCTCTTAACTTATAGTTAAGCATTATGGCACATTGGCCAGGCCCATCTCAATGCCAGGGTAGCACATAGCTTACCGCTTGCCCTGGTTCCATCCAGTCCCACTTTGGGACCCTGCTTTTGGGGGCGCTAGGAAGGGCAGCTGAGGCTTAGGCCTAGAGAACAGATGCTCAGGAGGAAAATAACACTGAGAGTCACATTAGAAAAGCACAGCAGATACTGTCTTCTTGTGTCCATACGAAAAGGACACTGCTCTGAATAAACTATGCAAAGGACTTAAGGAGAAGAGAAAGACAATATTTCTAAGTCAACAGAGCACAAAGAAAGAAGTTACAAATAAACACAGAGGAATGGGAGCACTGTGGTGGGGGCAACCCAATGAATCTAAAACTACCTGAGGCTGTGCAGGAAGGACAAAACAGTGTCAACCTACAGTCAGCGATGTGGAAACCTTTTAGAATCTGGGAAGGAAAAAGGATGAGCTCTCCCTTACAGACCAGGACTCAGAACCCACCACGCACTGTGAGGTAATAACACTGCATGCAAATGACTCTGTCTGTGGTCACTTGGCACAGGGGCTACGGAGGTCCCACGCCTCTCACCTGCATTCTTACCCCAGAGAAATCCACAGGTCAGAAATAAACATGTGGTGAGTTAACTCTGCTATTACCATACTTTTCCTATATTTCTTTTTTATATCAGTTTTTGGATGCTCAATTATATGAGCGGGCCCAGTAACGTCTCCATCATGAGACTTGTTGTTACTGTGTTTGGCATATCGAATACGTCACGGGTAGCTTGCCAGGCTCTGCCGTGTGGGCGAGATCCTCTCGGTAGCTTGCCGGGCTCTCCGAGAGGGGCGGAGGAATCGAACTTGGGTCAGCCATGTTGGCCGCTTGTAAGGCAAACTCCCTACGAAGATTTTGGCATTGGCAACTTTGTATAAAATAGAAGACTTTCAACCAGAAAGCCCTCTTTTTATTTATTTATTTATTTATTTATTTTCTTTTTGGGTCACACCTGGCGATGCACAGGGGTTACTCCTGGCTCATGCACTCAGGAATTACTCCTGGCGAAGCTCAAAGAACCATATGGGATGCTGGGAATTGAACCCGGGTTGAGCGCGTGCAAGACAAACATCCTACCCACTGTACTATCACTCCAGCCCCCAGAAAGCCCAATTTTTAATATGAAGAGGTCTATGTTGTTTATGCCATTTATACAAGGGCACTTAAAATGGCTGTCTGCCCAAGCCTCTGGAACCTTCTCCTTGTAAGACTCCATTCAATGTAATCAAAGTAGAGAGAGAGTATTGTAGAAATTGTCTGCCACACAGGCAGGGAAAGGGTTGGGATAGGAAGGGATACTGGGGATCTTGGTGGTGGAAAATGTGTTTGATCATTGTGTGACTGAAACTCAAACATGAAAGCTTCGTAACTGTATCTCACAGTGATTCAATAACAAATTAAAAAAAAAAAAAAGTCCATTCAAGTGCACTGCTAAGATGGGAAATTCCACATGGTTAACAGCTAAGGAAACCAACAGCCTGTCAAGAGAACCAACAATCTAGAGGAAAGAAGTAATAGCGGAGGCTGGAGAGACAGTACAGCGGGGAGGCATTTGTTCTGCCCCTGACCAACCCCAGTGTCCTCGCTGGCATCAAATACATCCCCTGAACCCCAGCAGCAGTGATCCCTGAGTACAGAATAAGGCCATAGAGGAGTCGCTGTGGCCACCGAACAAAACAAAAAGAAAAAGGGTCATTTCCCTTCTTTCAAGAACTCCTTTAGAGAGGCCATCAACGTTGGTGTTGATTTTGCTCTTTAGGGTTGAACTAAAAGGAATAAACATGAACTTTTGTTTCCTGCCTAGGAACAACCCCTGGGATACCCCTTTGTGGCCAGCGGGGAAGAGCCCTGAGCTCGGCTTCATCAGAAATGCCCATAGCATTGTCCTGCTGCCCAGGAAACCCGGGAGCGGCTCATGGGCACTCAGTGCCCATTACACCACACGCCAGCCCTGCATGCCAGCCCAGGGCAGCTCCTGGCAGCGAAGCCCACATGGGACTTTCCTCCTGGGCTCAGTCCACACCCGCCGGAGTGACCACGCCCAGGGCACAGGATGTCAGGAGAGATGCCGGCACCACCATACCCAGGAGCCACTGCTCCACTTCCTCTTCTTCCACACTCACTGTCCATGACTGTCCTAATGTCAACACACACACACACACACACCACAAATACACACATACCATAAACACACACACAGACACACCACAGACACATACACACATACCATAAATACACACACCATAAACACACATGCACACATCATAAGCATACACACACAGACACAAACACAGGCACACCATAAACACACACACAGGCACACCATAAACACACACACCATAAATACACATACCATAAACACACAGATACACCATAAATATACACAGACATACCATAAACACACACAGACACACCATAAACACAAACACACACACACACACACCATGAACTCACACACACATGAAAAGATAAACACATACCCACACCATGAGTACACACAAAGATGAGGTACCCCGTCCGGGGCACAAGCGAGTCAAACACGCAAAGCCAACACACAGCAGCCCTTTATACCTGGGCTCCATGATGTTTTTCACCTTCTGATGACACTACCAGCTCCAAGATTAGGGGTTCTGAAGTGACCTAGGCCCTGTCACTGTCCTCTCTGGCCTGGCTAATCCCCAAACCTAGCTTCCAGGCTACCTTGGGGTGTGCTTCTGGCCACCCCTTACCAGTACTCAGCCAAGACCTTGCTTCCCAGTTTTTCAAACATGGGATTACCCTGTGCATCCTGTCACCGACCTCACAAACACACCCTGTAGGACCTTCCCACAGCCCTCAGGGCTTCCCTAAGAAAGCTGGAGGGGGGGAGGTGGGGGGAAGGTGGTGTTGGGGGGCTAGTACGTATTGGGGGGTGAGCATGGGGAGAGGACAAGATGGGAACCAGGCTAGGGGCCCATCTCTGGACATGCTTCGCATGTGGAAGCCCCAACTAAACCCCTAACACCATATGACCCTCCAAGTGGGGTGCAGCTCCACACCCCACCCCCCAGCTCTATTGGGTGGTC